TCCCAAAAAAAATTTTTTTAAAAAAATTTTTCATCACCCAAAAAGACCAATTAAAAAAAAAAAAAAAAAAAAATAGACAGAAAGAAAAAGAAAAATTAGCATTAATTTATCATTAACATATGAAATTCTGAAAATAAAATGAAAATGATAAGAATCAAATCCCAACGAATTTTTCTCATGTTTTTTTTTCTTGCTTCATGCACTATACACATCATTAGTGTATAGTGAATGAAAAAAAACACACAACCAAATAAAGATTGAAAATCCACATCATAAATGATGATAATGTTAATCCCTTTGTAATAAGGAAAACATAGACTTTTTACATTGCTTGCTTGTTTGTTATCATTATCATTATGATAATGATAATTCGGTAGAAGCCTGGAGAGATTTTTATGTGTGTAAAAGCTTTGTGACTTTCCGTGGCAAATTTTTGTTTTTTTTTGGTGTTCAAAGCCAATTCAGGGATGTAATTTTCATTCTTGCTGTTTTTTTTCGAAACGAAATAATTAATGAATCTGGTTTGAAATGAGAATTTTCCTTCTTTTCCGTTTTGGTTGTTTGGAATATGTTAAACATCGAAAAAAAACGAATTGAAATTTTTGTTGTTGGATCAACCTCACCATCAATAAACATTGAACATTTAATTTGTAATCAAATTAATTGAAAACACAAGGCAAGCAAACAGAAAAATAGAAAAAAAACGATAATGAAAGAATCGAATGAAAATTCATTGGCAAAAAAATGTAAATGAATTCAGAATCGAATTCAGAAAAAAATCGAATGAATATTGCAGAAAAAGTACATAGAGAGCGAATAAATTGAAACGAATGAATTGTGAATTGATGATGTTTTTTTTTGAGACTGGAAAATGAAATGAATTACATTATCGTTTACACACACACACACAGAGAGAGAGAAAGTATTATATTTTAGGATAAAATATTCTATTCATTCAACCATTCTATTCAAACAGTAGTATTATAGAAAGATAGAGTAAATGAATTTTGTGGATGTTACAATTTTGAATTTCGGGGAAAAAAAGGATGCAAAGAGAGAAACTAATAATGAATTTTTTGCACATCACACACACACATTTCGGTTCGGATCGATCGATATTCGATTTTTTGTTTTTTGAATATTTTGGATTTTAAACAAGATTCTCAGTGGATTAATAAATTGCGACAAAAACAAAAACAAAAAGAAATGTGAGAAAAATTTCAATGAAAACCGAAGAAACTGTTCCTGGAACCAAAAGCTTAACAGAAAACAATGAATGAAAATGGAAAACCATTCATTCAAGAATAATTTGATTAAATTATTATAATTATTATGCAAATTTTTGTTTGAAAAAAAAATTTAAAGAAGATAAAGAAAGAAGAAAAATTGACTGAAAATTTAATCATTTTTTTTTGAATAATGAAGAAAAAAAATTGTAAATAATGTAATGTACGATACACACACAAAGAATATTCTTGCAAGGGAATTTTCCCAGTAAAATAAATTGCGTTAATTTTTTTTCTTTGTTAAAAAAAAATTCTGTTTCTTTTGGCGTGAAAAGAAAGTAATGAAACTATAGGCGCCATAAATCTAAATTTATTTGATAATAATAATTTTATACATTGAATTTAATAAAATTTTGTTTGTAAAAAAATTCTTTCAATGAAAATTTACATGATTGCCATGAATTGATTTATTTTGTTGATTTGATTGTTGTTGTTGTTGTTGTGATGGTGGTGTTGCCGTTGATGTCGATGATGATGATGATTGTTGATTTTCCATTCTTTTTTTTTGTTGAATTGTAATTTAAATTGATTTTTTAAAAAACAAATTCAAAAAATGATGAACGATTATTATTTTTTTTTTTTTTTGAAAAAAATCGATACTATCGAATCATGTTTGTGTTCGAAATTAAATTCGAAGGAAGTGAATGAAATGGATAATTTTTCATTTCAAACAAACAAACAAAAATCGATTAAATCGTTGTTGATGACCAAATAAACAAATGAAATGAAACAAAACAAATTAAACTATTTTTTCGATCGATTTAATTCATAAAAATGATCATCATTATCAGCAGCTGCCAGGAGCATTCATTTGTTCAAATTCGAATTAGGCGCTTGAAATATTTTCTTTTTTGTGATTGGTTTACAACAAATTTTCTTTTTGAAATACACAACATACAATCATCGTAAAGAATGGTAAGAATAATGAAAAAATATACAATTAAGATAAAATAGAAAAAACACACACAGAGTCATATATAAGAATGCTGACTATATAAAAAATTGAAATAATCACTGATGCTGGATGTGTGTTTGTGTTTCTGGTTACAATTCAACAATTCAAATAATGATAGAGAATCATTTGGAATATGGAATTAGATTTTCAGTTGGAGCTTCTTTTTTTTTCTCATGATCATCGTCGTCAAACAAACGAATTCGGTTGGAGAATTCTCAAAATTCTGTTCTGTTCTTCTTCATGTTGTGAAGAATGGCATTGAATGTTGGAATTTGTGAATTCGAATGAACTTGGATGAATGCATCAAACAGCTACTACTAGCAGTATATTTTTTGTTCGGCTACATTTTTTTCTTCTTCTTGCTTTGGATAGAACAAAATGATTGAATGATGTTCTGGATTCGTTTTCGTTTTTTTTTCTAATGGCAGGGTATTTGTGAACCATAACAATGAAAAAATTTCAGAGAATAAGATGAACGTAAAGAGATGTGAAAAACTTTCATTCAAATTATCTGGTTGTTTCGTTTTTTTTCTGGATTTCCATTTCACGATAATGATACGATGGTTTGATAGTTAGATTCTATACAAGATCATTTGATCATCGTTTTTGGTTTCAAAAAAAAACACAGAGGACAAACACACAGCAAGAGAGCGAGAAACACTTAATTTTCATAAAAGTATCTTTGATATACTCTATCAATTTTTATATTGATGAAAAGGCCCCATTTGGTTTGGTTTCTGAAACTTTTTTTTTTTATTTATGTCAAATCTCGATCAAGGGAGAGAAAGTAGATTACCATTAGCCATTAATGTTTTTTTTTGTTTGGCTCGTTTCGGTTGTCTGAGTTTATTTTCATTTTTCTTCGTTATTCTTTTTATTCAGAAAGCAAAAAAAAAAATGTGGAGTGATGAGGAAGGGGAAAAAAGTTTCATAGAAAAAGATGCTTACGTTTGGCCAAAAATGATGAATAACAGAAGATGTGTTTCAAGTGTACAGATAGAAAAAATATTTCGAAATATCAGCAGAATTTTTTTTCGGGTAACAATGTCAACATCAAAATGGAATTGGAACAGGATGGAATTTTATCAAATAATTGAATCAATCAATCAATCAATCGAACACTTAATGAACAACAATCACAATCGATTATAATCATCGATTGTGATGAGGATGTTGATTGTGATGGACAATAACTATCGATGATTCTAAAATGGCCACCACAACGACAATCATAAACAAGATTACCATTATCATCTGTGGGTATGATGTTGAAGAACAAAGTTTTTTCAAAATTTTTACCTAAAAGAAAATGACCAATAAAAAGAATGTATACCTTTATAAAAATCCTGCCGATTAATTTCATCATTAATAATAGTTTCAGGTAATTTTTTTGCCAATAACGTTGAATCATAACAAAATTTCGAATGTTTATCACTTAGAATTGTAGCTGCTTGATTTAATTGTGAAAATTCTGGTCTGATTGTATGACCAACATCATCGTTATCATCATTTGTCGATTGTTGTTGATTTCGTTTATCTGGATGACATTGAAGAGCAAGTTTTTTATAATTTTTTCGAATATCATCAATAGTTGCATCTTCATTACAACCAAGAATATTATATAGATTTGTATCATTATTGTTTGCCATTATGAATGGTTGCGGAATTTTTTATTTGAAAAATTATAAATTATTTTTTAGGAACAAACATGTGTTTAGTTTTGTGAGGTTGATCCATAGTGCCATCTTTTGTTCACAAGAAATTACTTCAACGAAGATCACATGTGATTCGAAGTTTTTTCTTTCGAAGTTTTTTCTCAATTAAAGATCAACATTAGGTGAAAAACAAAATGAAAGCCCGTGAATTGATTAAATTCAGTGTTAATCCACGTTTGGCTGAAAATCCAGCATTACCAGTTGGTTATATTCGTAATGCTTATTATAATGGTTTAGGAAGATATGTTTGTCAATTACAACGTTTGACGATAAAATTCTGTAAAAATAGTGGTACATCACGTGGTGTTCGTGATTATATTGAAAATCGTTTGATTGATTTTAGTCGTCAAAATCCGGGTATTGTTGTTTATGTTAAACCACGTTTACATCGTACACCAGTTATTGTAAGCGAATATTTAAATGGTCAAACACAATGGATGAATATCAGGAATTTTACCGAAACAGAAATTGATTGGTGGATTAATGATTTTTTGCGTACAAGATCTGGTTATGAATTAAGTCAATTAATATCAATGAATAATGTGTCAACACCAAGTGTTCAAGGCGTATGGAATCCTTTTCTCAATCGACCAACCGAATTAAATATTCAACAAAAATCATTTCCAATCGATGAACGTAGCAGATATCGACCAGAATTACCATCAGCAACTGAACAGTTAAGAATCTTGGCCGAAAAATTAAAACAATCCGATATGGATGAAAATCTAGTCGTTTCGAAAAATCCAGAATAAATGATCATGATTATGGCGAAACAAAATGAAATTTTTATTTTCAAAATTAAAAAAAAAAACAAAACAAAATAAATGAATAAATTTTTCATGTAATTTTTTAGAATAAAAAAATGAAAAAGAAAAATTATTTTCGTAAACTATTTTGATGAACAAAAAATTTTTTTTCCAAAACGCAAAAATTCCAAATCATTTAGTTCAAGCAACCGAAATATTAGCTGCAGCTATCATTTGTGGTCCTTGATGGCCACTACATGTCATACATTGGGCAAATTGTTGTTGTCGATCACCACCAGCCATACCACAATAATCACCAACATTTTTACGACAACGATGGTGAATATGCATTTGACAACCATTACAACGAACACCTTGATTAATACAACCATAGATTAATGATCCACAATGATTACAATAGGTTGGTGTTGTAAATGTTTTTGGTTGAAAATGATGTGGTTGTTGATGATCATCAACAACAGCAGCAGCAGCAGCAGCCGAATCATCAACCAAATGTTGATTTGTTGGACAATTAATCGTTACCGATTGATGACAACGTTTGTGTACAACCATACGACAATCTTATATGGGAAAAATTGGAAAATTGAAAATTTATTCGATTTTTTTGTTGACAAATTTACCTTGACATTGATAGCCTTGTTTACCGATACCGAAAATAAAACCATTACAATGTGAACAAAATGTTGGTTGACGTAATAATGTTGCCACAAATCGATGACCATTGATTGGATGAACACGAGGATTTGTTGATGTTGTACAAGGCATTTTTGATGTTGTTTTGGTTATTTTGCTAGAGTAACATTCGGATGAAACGATTTCTGATGATTGAATGATTGATCGAATAAAATGCCAAATGGTTTATATATGATTTGAAGAATTTGAATTAGCAAAAAAACCTACTTTGCACCGATTTTTACTTTGGCTGCCAAAAAAAATGGAATTTTTAGACAATAAAAAGATGTTTTTCTACCACTACCACCACCACCATCTTAATCGATGATAAGTAAATATCCATTACGTCATGGTAAATATTTGTTTGCTGGTTGAAAGAATGTCCTTGTCAATTTTTTTAATGCAATCATAAAACCATTATTATTATTTTGACAAAACGAGTTTACGATTTGTTTGTTTGATAATGGTCATATGATTTTTTTTTCATAATCAATTTGATTAAATTGGATTTAATCAGGAAATTTAGCTTGTGAAAAATAAATTGATTAATAAAATAATAATAATAAAAATCATTCATTTTTTTAAAGAGAATCTCCGGATGAATATATAGACAACAAAATGATTTATTGCCATTTCTAATGATGATGATGAGAATCGCAAGACTGATTTTCTTTTCTTCTTCGTTTGAATGAAATCTTTTTAAAGATTTTAGCTGTTTTTAGCTAAAATCTATAAAATAAATTAATGATGAAATGTTATTTTAAGAAAAAATATTATTATTATTTATTTAATATGAAAAATATGATGCGGGCAAAATATGAGGAATGAGTTCATTATAAAAAAAAATATCATTGTAGAAAATTGATCATTTTTTTTTCGTATCAAAAATTTTTTTTGAAAAAATTCATAAATAAATATTATGAATGCAAAAAAATTAAAATTTTAAATTCCTTAAATAAAATGGATGAAAAAATCTTGTATATAGGTAACCATATAAACCAACCATTTTTTCATTATCAGGTGTGTTTCAGAAACAAAATAGGAATGTTTTTTTTTGGCAGAACGAATGTGAATATAATGGAACTAATTTTCATTACGGGAAATTATGTTTATGAAACACGCTTTGGTTTTTTTTCAATCAGATCCTAAAAATACCACAATAATTGCCAACATTTTCACGACAACGATGATGTATATGCATTTGACAAACATCACATTGTACACCTTGATTAATACAACCATAAATTAATGAACCACAATGATTACAATAGGTTGGTGTGATAAATGTTTTTGTTTGAAAATGGTGTGCTCGTTGCTGATGATTATCAATAATACCACAAGCCGAATAATGATCAAACCATTGAAGATTTCTTGAACATTTGATCGTTATCCATTGATGACAATGTTTATGTACAACCATACGACAATCTGAAAACAAATCAGAAAAAAATAGATTCGATTATCGATTTTTGTTTTTTTTCAGTTTTTTGATGATAATTTTTTTTACTTTGACATTGATGACCTTGTTTACGAATACCGAAAATAAAACCATCACAAAATGAACAAAATGTTGGTTGTCGTAATGATGTTTCTACAAATTGATGACCATTGATTGGTTGAACACGAGTCCTAGTCTTTTTTGATGTAATACAGGGCATTTTTGTTTTGTTTTTGGTCAATTTAGTTGCAAAAATGGTTTGTTTTTTTTGTTGGCATAAACACACACGATGACGATTACGACGATTGATTGATTGATCGAACAACAAAATGGCAAAATGGTTATATATGATTTGTTGAATTCGGAATGAAAAAATTCGGTCAATTTATTTATTATGGCTGCCAAAAAATGAAAAAAATGGAATGTTTCAAACACTAAAAAGATGTTTTTCTACCACTACTACCTTAATCGATGATAATAATAAGGGAATGCCCATGGTAAATATTTGTTTGTCGAAAGAATGTAATTGTCAATATTTTATGGAATCCAAAAAAAAAACATAATTATTATTTTTTGTGACATTTTTTTACAATTTGTGTTTGTTTGTTTGATAAATATCATATGATATTTTGTAAGGAAGAAGAAAAAAAAAGATTTATTTGATTAAATTGGATTTAATCAGGAAATTTAGCTAGAAAAATAATTTTTGATTTAAATGTTTTAAAAAAAAAAAATCATTATTATTTATTCAATATATTAAAAATATAATGTGAGCAAAATATGATGAGGAATGAGTTTCATTGTAGAAAATAGATCATTTTTTTCCGTATCAAATTTTTTTTTTTTTTGAAAAATAATTTCATCATAAATAAATAAATATTATGCATGTAGAAAAATGAAGGAATTCAAAATGATTTCAAAGTTGAGCCAAAGTGTTATATAATACGATTTTTTTTGGAAAAAAAATATTATGCTTTGAAGAATTTTTCATATAAAAAAATATAAAATGTTGATATTTTTTGGTATCAAAATATAAATATTATGTGTGTGTGTGTAATAATGTGTTATTATAATGATGAGATCAATGATTTTCTTTTTTTTTTTGGTAATGGCAGAATTATTTTGTTGTTGTAAATTGGATGACTATTTTGAAATTTGATTTGATCAAATTCATCGAATGGAATTGTGAAAATTTGAAAGAAAAAACAAAACAAAACAAAACGAGGAAGAATAATAAAAATTAAATGGAAAAAAATAAATAAAAATTTGAAATTAAAAAAAAAACATAATCAAATTGGAACGAAAAAAAGGAAGGAAATGAATATCGTTTTTAGTTTTTTTGTCGTTGTTGTTGTTGTTGCAATATGAGTGGGTTATAGATAAGTTAAAATATAGTTTATTGGCATTTTTATAAAATGTTATTATCGTTTTTTTTTCAAAATGGCAGACAAATTTTTTTTTGTCACAGATCGTTATTGGTTGTAGTGATGGTATGTTGTGTCCAATTATTATTGTTATCATCATCAATAGCAGCCGATGATATTAATAAATCATGTGCTGTTCTTGTTGTTGTTGTTGCTATTGGTGAATCATGATTGTTGTTTATGTTGATAATCTGATGATGATGACCATTATTATCATGTTGATGATGATTATAATTGATTGGCTTGCCATTTAAAATGGTTGATGTTGTTGTCGATGATGATGGTGATGTTGTTGTTGATGTTTGAAAATCCGATGAAATATGTGTCATTATATCGGTACAATATTCATTTAAATCACTAGCAAATGTTGTCGATGGATTCGTACAAGCTGAATTCAATTTTTTAAAAATGAAATGAAAAAAGATAAAGTGGCTAAAAATATTCGAACCTACCAAGGATAGTGATAACATTTGATGAGGGGGAAAATGGTGAATGATCATCACCATTTTCTGTAATGGGCAATACATTATGCAATGTATTATGATTAACATCAGGTCCATCATCATTACCACCATTTAAACTTAAATTCATTAAATCTTCAAAACTATTAGAATCGATTGTATAGCCAGTGATCTGTTGTTGTTGATGTTGAAGATGATTATGATGAATATCAACATCGGATACATGATGAACATTCGATGTTGGATCACCCATAAAATCGGTTCCATGATGATGATGATGATCTTTATAATGAATAGTAAAATCATCAAGATAAACAGCCGATGAATCTTCTGTTGGTGATAAAAATGTATGTTGATTAGAATTCGGATGATGATGATGATTGATCATTAATTGTTTTGTTGGTGATTCTATTTGTTGTTGATCAATTGTTACGGGTGATTGATTCAATTCAATCATTGTAATCATTTGTGATTTCATCGATGTATTATTTGAAGTCGAAATAGGTACAGTATGGAATGTTGCCTTGCCATTTTCCGTAATAACCGTATTGAATTTATACATTCCAGGTGCTGCTGCAGCAGCTGCAGTATCCGAATTATTATTGATAATCAATGTGTCGTTTGATTGTTGTTGTTGTTGCTGATTTTTATTGTTCCTTTTCAATGGTGAAACAGATGTCGTTGATTGTTGCATCTTATCTGGATGTTTTTTCCTTTGATGTTGCATTAATTTTGCTTTGCTTGCATATTGTTTATGACACCAATCACAAAAATGTGGATTTATTGTTATACTGCCAACAGTTGCTGAATAGGTTTGTGGATTAACCAACGAATCGGAACCGGATACTATCGATGATGATGATGGTGATGATGATTGTTGTATCGATTGTTTACTTCGATTCGATGGTGGCAAAGATTTTCCTGAAATTTTTAAATCATGGAACTGATTAAATATATCGAATTTAAATAAATATATTTTACCTGGATGATTTTTAATAATGTGTGCTTTACGTTTAGAACTGGATTTATAAACTTTATCGCAATATTGACAATAATAATCTTTTGAAGTTTTAACAATCGGCATTGTCAATTCCGGTACGGTATTATATGGAACATCCGGATGACGTTTAGCAAGATGATTGACTAGCATACCACGACGTTTAAAGCCTATTTTAAATTAATTAAATAACAGTTCAAAAATCAAGATTTCCTAATTATAAATAGAAAAATACCGTAAAGACAAATATGACATTTATAAATATATTCATGATAATTAGGTTGACTAGGTTTGGTTGCCACTTTTTTTGCACGCGGTACTTTAACACGTTGCATTCGAGCTGCCATTTTGGCTAAAAATTTATAACGAGATAAAATAAACACTTAAGATCCTAAATAAGGACAACAAATTACACATACCGGCCATACGATCTTTTCGATCCGGTGCATGCATACGTTGTGTATGTTCTTTTAATTTATCTTTACGTTTAAATTGTTTACCACAAATCGAACATTTAAATTCCCAATGATCACTATGGCATAGCATATGTAAACGTAATTTATCCTGTCGTGGAAATACTTTTGAACATTCGGTACATGGAAAAATTTCATTCGAATGAAATGATTTCAAATGTTTACGTATGATGGAAAAATCTTCAAAATTCTTTGGAAAAAATATCAATGTGAAAACAAAACAAAAAACAAAAATCTTATCTTACTTTTGTACATTTCGGACAATGAAATAGACCTGTATCTGGATTGATATGCACTGAAATATGTTCACGTCGTGATTGTATATTATCAAACACTTTATCGCATAATAAACAATCATATTTTCGTGGAACATCGGATGAAAATCTATAATTTAAATTATAATTCTAATTATTATGTTCTGAAATAACAACAACAAAAAAACTTACTGATGATATCGAACATGACAGGATAATGCCGATTTTGTCAGAAATTTTCGATCACAAACCTCGCAGGATAATTTTTTCGCCGATTCATCATGTACGGTTACATGTTTATCGAATCGTTCTTTAGTGGAAAATCGTTTATAACATTGTGTACAACGATAATAATTGTCTTTTTCTTCCATTAACATATCCATTAATGAAATATCTTTCGAAGAAGATGATGATGACGATGATGTGACTGGATCGGATTTGTCGATAATTGATTGTTGTTCATCAATTACACCTGAACAAGATAATGTCGAGGTTGTCGATGATGATGATGATGGTGGATCGATTGTATCAATTTTTTTTGTTGAATCGACCATCACTACAGCTTCAGAAACATTCGATTCTTCCGGCTGATATTGATGAACTTTATGTGTTTTCATATGTCGATTACGATTATAAACATGATTGAATGCTAATCCACAAATTGGACATTTATAATTCTTTTCACCGGAATGCATTTCCCAATGTCGTCGTAAACTATATTTACGTGGAAATGTTTTATGACATTCTTGACATTCATATAATGGTTTAATTGATGACTGTGAATTATTCGATTCGTTTGTTTTCAATGTTGATAATGATGATTCCGATGATGATCGTGATCTTAATGCTGATGATGATGATGATAAAACAGCTGTGGCCGGTAATAACGGTGGTAATCCATTGATAAATGTAAGATTTTGATCAGTGATAGTTGTGGCCGGCGTAGTCATTGATGAACCACCATTACCATCAACAAACGAAACGATAATTGATTTATCGCCATTTAATTGTTGTTGCTGCTGCTGGACTATAATCTGCTGTGTTTTGGCTATCTTATTTCGTAATTTATGTCCAGTTTGCTGCTGCTGTTGATAATGAATATTATTATCATCGGAATTGTTGAAATTTTCATCCATCTTAGCCAATGTTGTTGTTGTTTTATCAATCATATGATCACCATCATTAATTTTATTATTGACTAGTTGATTTTGTTGATGCAATGCATCATCATTATCATTATTAATATCGAAATTTTCGGTTAAAAGTTTAATACCAATTGTTTTAGCATAATCGGATGAATACCATGCTTTTAATTCTTCATCAGGCATTATTGTACGTGTTGATAGTAGAAATAATTTAAATTCATTGGCAGAAAATTCTTTAGTTACAAGTTCAATATTTTGTTCCGTAGCATTTTGTGCTGGCCGTATAAATCTAGTCCAATTTGAACCATTTTCATCCGCTTGACTTAGAATCATTTGATTAGTTATAAAAATTATCAGATTTAATTTCGAACTATATGCAATACTATTTGGTGAATAATTTTGACTGGTTTCGGTGGGTAATTCAATCATAACACCTTCGATTGGTCCAAATTGTGTACGCTTTGGTATCTGTTTTCGTGCAAATACTCCAATCACATCAGATTCTATTTCCTGAAGATATAAATATTCAATTGGTAATGTAGCACGTGCACGTGTTAATACTGGAAGATCTTGTACAACATTTTCTTGATATTGTAATGATGTTGATGATTGTTGTTGTTGTTGCGATGATGGTAATGATAATGAATTTAAATTAATAACATCCGTACCGTTCACATATGAAAGGTCGTGAAACATTGATTCTTGATCAACATTTATTCCATCTGATCCATATTGATGATGTAATGATGGTGATGACGATGATGTTGAAGTTGCATTTGTCAATAATTGATTTTGTTGTTGTTGCTGTTGAACAAAATAATGGTCAATGACTGTTGGTGATGCTAATGTTAATTGCTGAAGTTGTTGTTGTTGATTATGATGATCTGCATCATCAATTTGTAATTGTAAATGTTGATGATTGGTCGTTATTGTTGTTGTTGGACTAGAGAATGTCATTCCATAATCAAGAACAGCAGATGATGATGATGATAGCTGCTCGGTAGCTTCATGTAAAAGTTGTTGATGAGAATGATGATGATGATGATGATGATTTGTTGATATCGATGTTGTTGAATCAACCGTTATATCACTAACATTATTATTATTATTGATTTGTTGTGATTGAATAAATTCATTTGTAGTAGCCGTAATTTCCGTATTTGTAACGGATGGTGATGATGATGGTGGCGATGACATGATGACATTATTGTCAATTAGCTGCTGCTGTTGATGATGATGATTATTATTATGACCAGAATTTGTTATTATTGTTCGTATGAATCTTTGATTCGAATTTGTACTGTTTATTTGTAATGAATCTATTGATGATGATGATGATTCATTCATTACGTTTGAATTATGTTGTTGTTGCTGTTGTTTATTATTGGACGATGAAGATGAAACCAGCGGTGAATAAGATGATGATGATGATGATATGATTGATGAGATCGTTCGATTCGATTGACAATTATCCACCTGTTCATTATTATCATCCGAAATGGTTGTTGATTCGGCTGCGTATTTTTGTTGTTGTTGTTGTTGTTTATAGAAATTCTATCAAAAAATATCAACATTTTGGTTTTGATTTCGAATTTATTTTTAATCTTAAAATTCAAATTATTACCTTATTATCATTCGAAATCGAATGATGATGATAATAATTTTGAGCAGTTGCCAGCGATTTGATTGAATTAGACTGATTCGATGTTATCGTTTTCGATGATGATGATGATGATGATGGTGATTCTTCATTGATAATATCCAATGAATCTGAAATAAATAAAAATTGTTGTTGTCGTTGATATGATGATTGTGTATCGATGATAATTAAATTCGTATTATCATTATCATTATCAATCGATGTCAATAAATTGGAAGAATTTGTTTGATCATTATTGTTGTTATCGTTGTTATTTTGTGAAATTGTCACCATTACCTTATTTGTTGTTGACATTATTCATTTCGAAAAAAAACTGAAAAAAAATGTCATTTGAACATACAAAAATAATACTATTTGCTTCATCTATAACCGGCCATTCTTCAAATTTCAAATTTTAAAAAAATAAAAATAAAAATAAATTCTAAGGAGGGAAGATTTCTTTTCGTTTTTGAAAATAAAAAAAAACAACAACAACATTAACTAGAATCTAGAATCCAGAATCCAGAATCGAATCTTTTATTCATTCATTCGATCTGATTCGATTCGATTCATTCGATTCACGCACATACACCACACACACACACCACACATAAAACTTCTAGCTCCATCTTTGTTTGTTTGTCTATAATAACAACAACAATAATAAAAAGCTTGAATGGCTGGCTGGCTGATAATGAGAATGAGAATATAAGGGAGGATGATTTTTGGTAGTAGTGGTGATGGCGATGATGATGAGGGGGTGTGTTCGTGGAACAACCTCAAATTAGATAAGGATTCTTTTTCGGATTCCTGAGGGATGCTGAGCATCCAACACAAACAAACAAAAAATTCAGGATGCTATAAAGGTCTTTTCGCAGATTTTTTCCTGTCTTGGATCGTTATCTCCCTCTATGGAATCATAGAATTTTGATTTTTTTTTTGTTGGTCAAGAGTGGTAGTGGCGATGAGGATTTTTTTTCTGTTTACAGGGTGTGTTTGAACAGAACCAAACAGAACAAAGTATTTGACCACCTAAGCAAGCTGATTTAGCATTTTTGTTGCCGCTAGGTCTGCTTGCAGCAGCCGCCCCTTGCCTTGTTTGTTTGTTTGATCACCAAACAAAGCCAAAAAAACTGGTATCCCCTTTATAATGTAATTACGCATGCGTATTTTTTTACTTCCCCAAAAAAATGGTTTCTGGATCATTTAATTTTGCAAGAAACAAGAAAAAAATGAAAAAAAAGATGCTATGTTTGTTGGGATGCTGAATTCGCTTCCATCATGATGATGGTCTTGTTGAAGGTCACACACAAATGTTCATCACCACACAACCTATGACACCTCTCTTGAGACCAATTCATTTCATAAATGTTTGCTGCTAGGCCAAAATGTCAAAAGGAAAAATTTTGCTATATACTTAAAGCTAGCTTAGTTTTTTGTTTCACAAGAGCATCCATCCATCTCGTTAGTCGTGTCCCAACACCAGAGAAAGCTGAATAGAATTAGCAATGGGCGGCGGCGGCTATTCATTCTGGATGGAATCTGAGTTTTTTTTTGTAAAAATGAATGTGTTTGGTTGTCATTCTGAATCCTGAAATCCTGATTTATTTGAATTGGAGAGAAAAAAAATTATGAAAATAAAAAAAAATTAAAGACCACGCGACCAGGTGGGCTCGAACCACCAACCTTTCGGTTAACAGCCGAACGCGCTAGCCGATTGCGCCACGGTCGCTGCTTGTCTTTCTAAATCTAATTATAAATGGCCATGAACCAAATGAACCATCATTGATTTTCCTTATTTATTTCCATTAAATTTTGGATAATTAAAATTTTCGAAAATTCAAAATAAATTCCCGCTTCACAATTGGCTTGAATCCAAAATTGCTTGTATCGACTTTCATTTTGAAAATGAATATCCGATATTCGGAAATTTTCCCGAAAAAATTTCTGATGAAAAGTTTTTTGGAAATATATTTTCACACAACCAGCTGTCATTAATTCTTGTCAATTCATTTCGCCGCATGTTTTTTATTTTGTTTAGTTGATGAAAAAATTTTCTAAATAACAAAACAAATAATGGATAAAAACAACGAACAACAAGATGATCGAACACCATTACATCGTGCATGTTCGAATGGTCAATTAGCATTGGTACGAAAACTTGTTCAAGAGGGTGCCGAAATTGATTGTCGTGATGAAATGGAATGGACACCGTTGATTATAGCGGCATCAGCTGGTCATAAAGAAATTGTTGAATATTTAGTGAATAAAGGAGCCGATATTGATGCAGCCACTGTAAATGGTCAACGTGCATTACATTATGCAGCATCAAAAGATTGGTTGGATATTTGTCGATATTTAATTGATTCTGGTGCATCAATTAATGTTTGTGATCGATATAAACAAACACCATTACATCGTGCTGCATCACGTGGTCATGAAGATATTGTTCGATATTTTCTTCAACAATTACCAAATCTACAGATTAATACAGCGGATAGTGTTGGTAATACACCATTACATTTAGCATGTGAAGAAGAACGTGAATCAATAATTAAAATGTTAATAAAATCTGGTGCTAATATTGATTCATTGAATCGAGATAAAAAACGACCAATTGATTTATGTACAAATCATTCATTTCAACGTTCGATACAAAATTTTATGGAAAATTCTATGGAAAAATGATAATAATAATAATAATGAAATTCCGCGGGAAATTTTCCATGTTTAAAATTTTCTGATTTTTATTTTTTGCCTACTAAATTCAAATAAAATTTTTCTACTTTTTTCCATTTGTTTTTTGGAAATCTATTTATTCTCTGTAAATGTGTCAGAATTTATGATTTTGCGCTAAACAAAAATTAACTTGTCAAACTAATAATAAGTTTGACTGTAGTAGCAGTAGTATGTCATTGGAAATCATTGATGACTGGCGGTTGATCCAAATCGATCATCATCATGATGATGATGTAATGAAATGTAGATTTTTATTCAAACGATGCAAACTGCATACTCTATACTCCTATGTTTGTTTGTTTTTTTTTGTTCACATCAAACTTAGATCAAGATGTGAAATGTTTGTCTGTGTATTTCGGCCTATTTAATCTTGTTCACATGCACACACACATTGTATCCATCATGAACATCATCATCAATGAGAAAGACACAAAAAAAAGAATTTAATTTTTAGAAGAAAAAAAAATTCAAAAAATCAACTATTTCCACATGTACGAAAATGTTTGTGTCGAAATGTTCCATCATCATCATTTCCTTTTCAAAAAAAAACGTTCGAATCGAATGAATTTTTTTTAGTGAGCATCATCATCATAATCATCATCATTCTTGACAGTGATAACCGAAAACATCAATTTCCTCATCAGCCGTCAACATAACATCATCATCAACCAAAAAAGGGCATGTCTGTTTTGATATATAATGATGATGATGATGATCCAGAATAGAATAATTCTCTGTGTTGACAATATAGCAAAATGAAAGAATTTGAAATGAAATAAAAATCTATACAGTATTGACAGTATGTAAAAACTTTTATTACAATCAAAAATTCTGTATATGGAATTCTATCCATCATTCGTCATTCGTCATCACATCAAATATGACTGACATTGTATTACAACCGAACCAAGTTTATGACGACAATTCTAAACACGATCCATACATCCATCCATCCATCCATCTCTACTATTTGTATTTGGCAAACTAAAACTTAACTAGCTTTGAGAATCACGGCCGAATAAAATAGAAAAAAAATGGACATTGTGTGCGCGCGATCCACATCCATTCATCTATCTATCTATCGATCGATTCGTATCCGATGAAAATGAACAAACCAAAACCAAACACACAAAACGATGATTATATGACAGTGAGTGGCAGTGGCATCTTCATCATCATCATTATTCTGATCATCATCATCAATATCATCATATTTCGATAGAATCTAAAAAACAAAATCCCTTCTTTTATTCTCTCTTTTTTGATCTTGATTGAGATGAGCCAAACAAAACTATGTTTATTTTGTTATTGTTTGGTCATTCTAATCATCGAACAAATTGACCATTGTAATCAGTGTAATCTAAAAAAATGTTTGCCTAAAATCAACAACGCATTAAAGGTATGTTTGATTTTATTTAAAAAAAAACTTTACAAACAAGAATTTTGAATTTTTGTCTATTTCGGTTTTGCCATCATTTTTTTTGAATATCTGTTTACATCAGCAACATTCCTTTTCAATTTATTTTAAATGTGATTTTGTAGTCGTTTCGTTACAATTTCTATTTTTTTCTTATTTTCAAATGGAAAAACTTCTTTGAAATTCTTGAATATATTGAACAAATTCATAGTTTTTTAAGGCTCATTAAGATATGACTCATTAACTATATGAAAAAAAATTATGATCAATGTTTGTAAGCCCTTGATGATGATGATAATCATGACGATTAAATATCAAAAAAAAAATTCTGTCTTTCTTCTCCACTACAGAATTATTTCAATACAAAACAAAAGTTTACACAAAAACCAAATAGAATAATGTAATGCAAATTAACATGGATTATGGTCTCGATTAGAGATAGTTGGGCCAGATGTTTCTACGGAATATTTATTTTTTTCTATTCCGAAAAATTCGGGATTTATTCGAGAATATTCGAGATTTTGTTCTGTTCTATCTAGTTTTTTTAGATTTTTTTTTTGCATAGAATTCTATCTTTTTTGTTTTTATTTGTTGGTTATTGTTGGTCTGATTCTTTTTCTTCTGAAACACAAAAAAAAATCAACATTGATCAGCATGATTTTTTCCAGAATGATGATCATGATCAGAATATCAAATCTTTTTAAAAAAATCCAACTTTAAAGATAAAAAATTTTCCAGTTCAACTGATAAACTGATGGTCAAAATATTAATTGGCCAGCAGCCATAGATTGTTTTGTTAATTAATTAGATCTATGTTTGTGTTTGGTCGGTTGATTTCTATCTCTATCCAAAAAAGAAAAAATTTCGCTAATTTTTAGTTTTGCAGTTTGAAATTTATTTATAAAATTTAAATCAAAAATTTCTTGGTTTAAATTAACTAAAATTTTTTTCCCTATTGCCATTCACACACATAAACATTCAACAGTATCCACAATTTTTATTATCATCATTTTAAATAATGTTTAAAATCCCTTGTTGAAATGAAATGAAAAAAAAAATTTAATTTTCATTAATTTTTCAACATCAACGATTTGTATTAACAGTATAATAATAATAACTGTAATGACCGTTGGCAATGCCCATCGATCGGATCCAATCGATTCAATCAAACATCATATTTTTTCAATGTTGTTGTTGATCATAAAAAAATAAAATGAATTTCAATTTAATTCAATTAACAAACATTATCATCATTGGTATATCCGGAGCCATTTCATTACAAACAAAAATTACATTAATGGCTCCCTAAATGATGCTTATATTTTTAGATATATTTCAAGAATTCTAATCTTTTTTCTTTCTCAATTGATCCATCCAAAAATGAATGAGTTTTGACCCTCAAGGGCATGAACCGATTTAGTTCATGATCATCATTATCATGATGACGCCTCCAAATTTTTCAAATAAATTTAGCATGCGCAGCCACCAAATTTTGCTACAAATTACACTTTTTACTAATCTCAAATGTTCGAAATGACCAGGAAAAACAGCCAACCTTAACAAAATATGGACCATCAATAACAACAACACTAACCTATTGTACAAAAACATTTTTACCTCCGCCCATTTATTTCAGAACTGTTCATGTTGTTTGATTTTCATTAGCCATTCTTTATTTTTCAAATTGAAATCTAACAAAAACAGATCATATTTATATATGATATGAAGTAAGAGACCAGGGGCATTTTGTTTGATGATTGCTTTTTGTTGAAAACATTCTTCATGATTTGTTTTCTGTATGAAATCATCATATAATCATAGGTTTTGTTTTTTATTTGTCATTTCTATTTTGAATTTAATTCAATATGTTTTAAGGTCTTTAAAGGTCAGCAGGTAATTTAATTTGTCATTTGTTTTTGCTTGTGTGATTGTGATCGTTAATGTGAATGTGATCATCAATCATAAGAGAGAGAATCTCATAAGAAAAAATTCAAAATCTCTGTGTCTGTGTGTGCTTTTTTTTTGATGAATCTAATCAATCAATCAATCAAAATTTATTTCACAAGAAATAAAATTTCATCAAATTGATGAATTTGTTTTCTTTAGCCGCTGCCGTCGTCGCCATCATCATCTTAATCAACATCGTTGATTTATCATCAGGTATGATTAAGTTTGATTAATTTATTTTTATGTTTGAATCCATTTTTTCAGATTGAAAAATTTTTCAATTGAAATATTCAACTCTGTGACACTTACACAGCCATTCTATTATATTGACCCATTCAATTTTATATGACAAATTGGGTCAATTCGTTTCCAATTTTTTCATGTTTTGATCGGTTTCTTTTGAACATTTTTTTTTGTTTGGTTTGTTGAAACATGGAATAATTTGTTCAGGACCGTGGACAGTTTATTATTTGTTTTTGTTGTTGTTTTCAATCTCCCAATCAACGTATATTGACACCAAACTTGTTTGACAGACAAAATTGGCGACACTTTTTTTTAAACCTTTCAAATTTTCTTATTCTACCACTGTTGATCAATAGTCGTCGGTCGGCCGGCCACTTTTGATCATTCAAATAGTTATTAAGCATGTCTGTCGCTATTTTATGTTTTTTTTTTCTTCCAGTCAATCAAAAGATTCCGATTTCATTTGAATAGATTTTTGCGAAACTTTTCATTCTTTATATCACTTAGCAGTGTGGTGACAGAAAAACAATATTTTCTCTCGTTCTTCGTCTACCTTTAGGCAATCAACATTATTTTACGTCAATATTATGATTCAGATCAATATCAGATATTTGATGATTGAATCTAATAGTTTATTTTTTTATGATTATTTAGTTTAGTTTTTAAAGATTGATAAAGATATAATGTTATTTGGTTTTTTTATATAGTCTGACTGATTGATTCAATTCAATTTTAATCAGAAAAAAATTCTTGATGCCACAATAAATGAATGATTCGGCAAATATAAGTGGATCTATATTTGAAAAAATCGAAAAAATTTCCATTTAGTTTTTTAAATTTAAGATTTTTCAATGAAAAAAAAATTTTGATAATGATCTCAGTGTATATTTATTGTGTGTGTGTTTGAATTCAAAAAAGAATTGACAAAACAAAAATTCACAATCAACAAACACTGCAGTGATTTTCGAATGGTATTTACATTTGTTTTTTTGTTTTGTTTTGTTTCTTTGTCACTTCGTATCGATCAATCGATCTATTGATTTTGTTATGTTTTGTATAATGCAAATTTCTCTTGTTTGTTTGTTTCGTTTTAGTTACACTGATCATTGACGAAATAAAATAGTGAAAACAGAACGAACAGAACAAAATGATCCAAATGAACAATGGGTATATTTTATTTATTTTTTCTTTTCTTATGGGTTTATTTGACAACGAGGAAAAACAAGATGTTCATTTATGATTATTGATCCAATTGGATTAAGATTAACAAAAAAAAGACAAAGTGAAACCTCAGAAAAAATGAATAATTTTTTTTGTATGAATAATGAGATTATTTGATAGTTCAACAGAAAAAATGCAACAACAAAAAACATGTCACACACACGATTAAATCATGATTATAATCCATCCCTAGAAACATATGTTTTTTATTTCATAATGATTATCATTCTTGGACTGGATTTTTTTTTCGTTCCCTTTCGTTCGTCAAACATTTTCAGTTTTGGGTTTGATTTGAAATATCATTATCGTTGAACAAATAAATGAATGAGAATGAAACTTCATATAATTAAAATTATTACTGCTACTTATATGCAAAATGAAATGTATACGAGGAAGAATAATTATTATTCGGTTCCTGGATCGTTATAATCCAGCCCATTTTTTCTCTGTATTGTTTTTTTGCTGTTGTTATTTCTTTTGAAACATGATAATTATTGATGATGCCCATTTTAATCCAGATAAATTCATATTTTCATTTCATTAACTTTTTGTATATGTTTTTCTGTTTCACCGGTTCAAAAATTAGAAATAATCTTCATTTAGAATTTCAAATACAGAAAATCAAACGATTCTTTCAACAAGTGAACTTTACTGAACGACGACCAGTAAAAAATGGATACCATTATTGAATTATTCGATAATAATATCAATGACAATAATGAAAAAGTTGAAGATGATGATAATGATTATGGTGATAATAATAATAACGATGATGATAATGATAATCAGGAAAAAAACATGATGATAACATCAAAAGATATTAATCAATTATTAAATGAAAATAAACAAGATAGTTATAGATCAATGAATAATAATGATGATAGAATTTCATTCATTGATCAATCATTATCATCAACGGAAATTATCATGAATATGAATGATACCGAACAATTCGAAAAAGATAAAAAAGCCGTCTATTCACATCCATTATTTCCATTATTAGCATTATTATTTGAAAAATGTGAGCTAGCAACACAATCAATTACATTGTTTGAAACGGATTCAAATCTAGCAACATTTAATCGTGAAATTGAAGATTTTATTGATCATCATCATCGTACGTTGGGTACTAATTCATCATTTTTTACCAATAATCCGGAAGTTGATTCATTGGTAAGATTCATTGCATTTTATTCTGGTGATTTTATTTCTGAATATAAAAATTTCCAATATAGATGCTAAAAGCTATACAAGTATTTCGAATACATTTATTGGAATTGGAAAAAGTATCACAATTATGTCAGGATTTTTGTCAACGTTATATTTGTATGTGTTTTGTATTGATTAATTTGAAATCAAATGTAATGATTTTTCATTTGTTTTATTATTACCCAAACAGCTTGTTTACGTTCGAAAATGCGTTCGGATAATCTCATACGTAGTGGTGGTGGTCATCAATTATCAATGAATAATGGAAAAAAACGAAATCCTTTATCGTCACCATCATCATCGTCATCATCGCCCCATTCATTCCTAGATGATGAATTTGATATGGATATAGAACCAATGGATAATGATGATGATGATGATGATAGAGAAAATCTAGCTATGGAAGATGAATTATCATGTGCATCATCATCATTTTTTCCATCCACAACAATACCAAATGAAACATTATTTTGCTCAAATCCATCACCATCATCATCAATTTCATCATCATCATCGTCGAATTCATATTTATCACAACATCATTCATTGCAAATATTAACCTCATCATCATCATCATCATCCCCCTCTTCATCATTGCATCAACCATCACCATCATTATCATTATCAATATCATCACAGAAATCAAATCCTTCATCATCATTAAATTCTATTCTATTCAATGGTGGCCAAAAATCAATTCCAATCACTCCCAATAATGCACCAATTATGTTTTCAGGTTTATCTAATCCATTGGTATTCAATTTCGATTCCATTATGTCAACATCGCCATCAACATTTTTGAAATCTATGTCCAAATGTATCCAGCAACAACAACAACAACCACATTCGCCACAAGAAAAACCAATAAGCATATCAAACAATTGTGATTCTAATTCCAATTCTAATGATGATGATGATGGTGATGATGACATGGTTCATGATCTCAGTTTGAAATCAAAATTAATTAATACAGAATCTATTGACATAAATGATGATAATAATCTCAATAAAAAGGAGGAAGAATTACCATCTAATCCATCGATGTTAGATGATAATCAATTGAAATCGAAAAAAGTGAAAAAAGAAAAACAAACAAAATCGAAAAAATTTTCAAATGATAAACAATCTGGTACGACGAACATGAATAATAATAATAATTGTAAACGAGGCGTTCTACCTAAACATGCTACATCGATAATGCGATTATGGCTTTTTCAACACATTGTTGTAAGTGTTGAAAAATGAATAATTTTTTTCGAATCAAATATTTATCAAATGTTTATTTTTAGCATCCATATCCAACCGAAGATGAAAAACGTACAATAGCATCTGAAACAAATCTTACTTTGTTACAGGTGAATAATTGGTTTATTAATGCACGAAGACGTATCCTACAACCAATGCTTGATTCGGCCAATAATGGACGAACAAAATCAATATCCGATTCATCATCATCAAATGATCCTGGATTAGATTTAACAATAACTGCTACAAAAAAAACTAATCGAAAAAATTTAACAAACATATCGAAAACAAAATCAAAGACAAAATCACAACCACAACAACAATCAATCAATAATCGATTTTGGCCACAATCATTGGCTAACATTATACAGACAAACGATGTAAAACAACCACAATTGTGAATTGATAGAAAACAACAAATTCCTGCTCAAAATATATTATTGTGGCAAGAATAAACGTTTTTATTGACAAATTTAATGTGTAATACAAAATGTAGAAAATGAAGGAAAAACTTTTTTTTTCTATTCAGATTTCATTGATTTTGGAAAATTTTTTCGTACAATTTGTTCACATGAATATAGAAAATGAAGACCAAATGCTCTTAATGGACTCATCAAACAGATTTGTATTAAGCATTGTAACCATGAACGACATGGCATCATACCTGAACATAATGTTGTTACAACAAAACCATTAAAACCGATTGTCGATATAAATTGATTATTTAGGCAATCTTTTAATGATTTTTTCGCCACTTGTTCAGGTGTAAAAAGACCACCTTCATCGGAAATTAATTCAGTTATTTTTGGTTTTCCTTGTTGTTCATTTGCAAAACCTGGTGTATCTGTATCCGGTGGAAATGATACAGTAACACTGATATTATATGGACGTAATTCCATATCTAATGATTCAGCTAGACCGATTAAAGCAAATTTTGCAGCTGAATATGCTGAATAACCGTATATACCAAATACACCGGCAATCGAAGAAAATATCATTATTCGACCATTATCCATTTGACTTTTTTTCAATGATGGTAAACATGTTTTGATTGTATTTACTGTACCAAAATAATTAATATCCATCATTCGATGATATTCATCCAATGAACAATCATCGAATGTACGTGCAATAGCTGTACCAGCACAACAGATAAGTAAATCGATTGGTCCAGAATTAGATTCAGCATCGGATCGTACTTTTTCCAATTGTAACGTTTGCCGATTACTTATGTCAACAGAAAATGTTTGAATTTTCTGTCGATCACTATCAATGGCCATTGAAATTAGATCTTTTTGTGTTTTTTCCAAACATTTTTGATCACGAGCAACAATAGTAACATTGGCACCATTTTTAACACAAATTTTGGCAATTTCCAAACCAATACCTTTTGTACCACCGGTTATAAATACATGATGTTTATTTAATTTTTCCGAAAAATTTATCGAACAGAACCAACATTCATAAAGATAGATTATGGCTACAATAATAATGAATATAGCCAATATGGTTAAAATCATGATTTATTGATTTTTTCTCTCCAAGAATTAAATTTAGATAAAAAGATGATTGTACAGCTGTTCAATCTGCTCTTCTATCACCATAAAATATTGAGCAATTTTTTTTTTGGTTGAAATATTCCATAATTGATTCCAAAAATTCTAGATGGCAATCAAATCGTAATTTCTATATATGAATAATGTTGTGTGTTTGCGTGTGTAGAATTCATTGGATGTGCTGCCATATATACGGCGTGTGTAGGCCGGCATTATTTTATTATTGTTGGAAAAATTGTGTGTCTAATTCGACCGAGACGTGAAACGTTTTTCTTTTTTCTCTTCTATTTTCTTTTTTGTTCAATTCGGTTACGCAAATTCGGGTAACAAATAATCGAAAGAAAAAAAAAATTATCGACGACAAACAACAATGGCAAAAAGAACATCGGAATATCAATTAACTAAAGATAATTATAATGATGATGATGATGATGATGCTAAAGATGTTGATAATGGTAATGATAATGATGATGAACAGAAAAAACTTACAGCAACACCTGAAGTATTGAAAAATCGTATATTAATCAAAGCTAAACGACGAAATTTACAAGATTCAACATCATCATCGAATGTATTTAGTGGATTTAAAGGTAAAATTTTCAATCAGAAAAAAATATCGGACCAAAATTATATACGAAAATTTTGTTGTTGTTTTTTGTTAAGGTTTCTCATCATTTAGTAGTGGTAATGATGGTGTTGGTAATGATTCCAAATCATCATCAAATTTTGCATTCAATTTTGGTACAACAACATCAACAATAACAACTGCTGCTTCATCAACAGCGACAGCAACAACTTCGACTTCAAGTGATTCAAATAATTCATCATTTACATTTGGATCAAAATTATCTACGGGTATTGTTAATCCAAAACAAAATGGAAATATTCCAGATTCCAATAAAATTGACATTCCATCTTCTTCTTCATCGATCGAATCATCAACAACAAAAATGATTAATGAAAATAAAACTAATGATGATAAAGAATCGGCCGTTTTTTTAGCTAATCTAAATAAATTGAATAAAAGTTTTGTTGAACATATTTGTCAATATACATCGAATCCAAAGTGAGTAATTTTTCTGTTTTGTTTTTGATTTTTTTCTTTTATCTAACTTAACATTTTATGTTTGATTTGTTAAATAGATCAATTTATGATCTAACATTAGTTTGTGAAGAATATATTGCAAAATGTAAAAAACTTCATGAAATAACACCAACAGATTCTTTAAAATTTATCAAGAATAATGTTGTTAATGATGATGACGTTGTAGAAAAAAGTAGCGATGATAATCAGAAAAAAATGGATTCTCAGTCAACCATAAAATCATCATTCACAATGCCATCATCAACATCATTAACAAAAAAATCGATGGAAAATAGTAAGCTATTTTCGTTTGGCGTTAAAAATGATGCGGTAGATTCTTCTTCTTCAACTTCAACTAATATTGATGCTAATAATAAAAAACCTTTATCAAGTGCTGATGATGGTAATATTAATAAAGGATTTTCATTCAAACTTGATTCCAAAATAACATTCGGTGGTAATATTTTTGGTGGTAATAATAATAATAAGGATAATGATCAACAACAGGAGCCAAAAAAATCTTTATTTCCAACAACAACATTTCCAACGACAAATCCGATTTCATTATTCGGCAGTAGCAGTGGTGGTAGTAATATTATGAAAAAAATTGAAGATTCAAATACCGAAACGGCTACGGCTACTGGTGATGGTGATAATGATGATGGTGGCGATGGTGAACATGAACAGCCACCAAAAGTTCAATCAGTTGAACATAATGAAGATGATGCTGTTTATACGAAAAAGTAAATTTAAAATTTTTATTTGATGACACAATGACAAATGATGATTAATTTTGGATATTTTATTGCTTAAAATAGGTGTAAATTGTATTATAAAAAAGATGAAAATTTTGTTGAAAAAGGATTAGGTTTTCTTTATATAAAAACACCGAAACTTAATCAAGATGATACAAAAGATAGTAGTGGTGATGGTGGTAAATCACAATTATTGATTCGTGCCGATACAAATATGGGAACAATTTTATTGAATATAGCATTGATCGAATCTTTGCCGATAACGAAAGCAGATAAAGGAAAAGGTGTTTTACTTACCTGTATACCGAATCCACCATTGGATGCCAATAAAATTAAGAAAAATAACAACAATGATGATAATTCTGACGATAATGATAAACAAACTGTTACATTTTTAATTCGTTGTAAACAATCTGATTGTGATGAATTATATGATAATCTAATGAAATATAAAAAATGAACCGAAAGAGAGAGAGAGATGCTTATCAAAATGACAGGGTCGATAAAAGTCGTTTTACCTCACATCATTAATGTGATTTTTTTAAATTCATTTTTTCTTTTTTCTTTTTGTTGACAAAAATCGATCGGCTTGTCATTATTACACAATATAACGATTTCTTGTTTTCATTTTCATTATTTTAAAATTAATAATTAAGATGTGTTTGTTTGAAAATAATTGATCACAATTAGAATTGATAAACTTTTCTTTCTTTCTTTTCTTTTTTTAGATAAAATTCATTGAAAAATAAATTATAACCAAAATATTATAATAATAAAAAAACGGAAAAAATGTTATTTTGATTGCTAAATTGATTTAAAATTATTATCAATTCCACACATTTTACAACTTAATTCCCAAAGTTGTTCAGCAACATCAATGTTGGTTGCATTTTTTACCATATTTTTGATTCGACGACAATTTCTATTTGTTACAAAGCAAACAAAAATCAAATTTAAAAGAAATGTTTTCCAGAAAATAAAAACAAAATCCAAAACTTACGCAAAATAACCACCCGAATCATTCATAATATTCGAATCGAATGCACAATAAAGTGTTGTTTGTGCACCTAATTCTGGACTAATCAATATCATTCGACGAAAAAAATTTAATAAACATAATGTTAAACCATTAAGATGACGACCAAGTTCAGTGTTAACAAGACCCGGATGTACAGCATATACACGAATATTTGTACCATGAAGTTTTTTTGCCAATTCCAATGTAAACAAAACATTTGCCAATTTACTTTGTGCATATGCTTTTAATGGTGTATAAGCACCATTATCAAGATTAATATTATCAAAATGAATCGTACCGGGCATATGTGCTACTGATGCTAGATTAATAATTCTTGCTGATGATGATCGTTGAATTTTATCCATCAAAAGATTAGTAAGTAAAAAATGACCAAGATGATTTGTAGCAAATTGTGATTCAAATCCATCGATTGTTTTTGATTCTGGACACATCATAATACCAGCATTATTAATTAGATAATCGATTTTTTCAATTTTTTCATTCAATTCTTTTGCACATTTTCGTACCGAATCTAATGATGATAGATCTAATTGTATTAATTCTATTTGATTTTTCGTAACATTATTGTTTAATTGATTAATTTCATTTCGAATTTCATCACAAACAATACGAGCTTTATTTAGATCACGACAAAGCATAAAAACATTTGCATTTAATTGGGCAAATATCCGTGCTGTATGTTGGCCGATACCAGAATTTGCACCAGTTATTACTACTGTTTGTCCGGTTAATCGTTCTTCATTATCATCGGGTAATTTTGCTCGTTTTCTTCGATAAACACCAATATTGTTTAGGAAATTCGCCTGTGTTTCAAGTAATGATTGAAATTGAAACAATAACATGAGATAGAATCGATGGAAAAAACCATTTTTATTGGTTTGGTTTGTCATGATGAATAAAACCCAACACTAACAACCGTAACAATAGTTCAAAGTCGATTCAAAATAAAATTCAAAATGACAATGAAAAAAAAACTATAGCCATTCATTTTCCTACGTAACACCAAATATTTAGGTGTTTTTTTTTGTATTCAGAAATTTCTTTTCCACTTGAGAAAAAACAGCAATAATATCATTATTATTTGTTCAGTAAAGTGTGAAAATTTCATTGTCGAATTCAATTTCTTTTTCTTTCCTTTTTCGTGTTTATTTGACCAGGATTTTATTGTGTGTTTGTTTCAAAACGGTTAAGAAGTTGATGAAACAAAATATAGAAATCACAACTGAAAAATGACAAATGTAAAAATGTGAATTTTTTCTTGGATATTTACTTTCAATTTTGTTGTGTAAAGAAAAACAAAAGTAAAAGCAAAAGCAAATTTTGAAATCCAGTAAGAAGAATGATTGATTGATTGATCAAATCAAAAATCGAATCTGATTTTTTTTTGTTTCCAATAAGGAAACGTTCGAATTTGAAAACAATCGATAGTTGTAGATGGACGATACTATCGATTTTTGAAGAATTTAAAATTTTCAATTTTTCTCAGTTTTTGATTCAATCCTGGTTTACCTGTTGTTTTTTCTGTGTGTTTATTGTTATTCAATAATTAAATGTCATTTATGTTTGGTTGCCAAAACATTATCCTTGAATTTCTTTTTTTTTTTTGATTTTGGATTTCAACCATTTTCGACAATTCATTCAATCGAATCAAAATTAACGATGCATGTACACCAGCAAAAATTTTTTTGACAAAAAAAATTGTAATTATAAAAATGATAATAATTTGAAAAATTGAAAAATATGATTTTTCTGGAACACGTGCTGCCATCAGCCGACGCCGATAATTTTCATTTTTTATTTGAAATTATTTTCAACCTCGACACTACAATTCTTAACACCACATTTTTTTGGACATTATTTTTTTTCTACTCTTTAATTAACTGGAATTAAAAAATTCCATTTAGGTCCAATATCTTTAGAACATTGCATATAAAGAATCAGAGAATGCACCGAAAAAGTACGCAAAAATTTTAAAAATCACAACAACAACAACAACATTAATTTAAAAAAATGTTTTTTTGTTGACAACGTGACTTTGATCTTGTTTTTCAATTTCATCGTTGTTCAGGACCAAAATAGAAATCTTTTCGAAAAAAATCCGACCCTATATAGGAATTATTCTAAATTCAGGTATATTTTTTTCTGAAAACAAAAAAAAAGGTAAAACAACAACAAATGACATTTGGGAAAACCAAACAAAACAAAAAAAAATGTACAAAAACAAAAATTTTATTGCTATAAAGAATTCTGTAACAAACAAAACAAAAAACAACAGTATATTTTTATCCCAGAAAAAATAACCCTTTCAAGGTCGTTGTAAAAAACTATCAATAATAACCCGAGTAAAATTATCACAAATTTTCAAAATTGATTAGATCGATATAATGGATAAATTTACTATCGATAATCGTTGATTATGATGATGATTTATTCATGTTTGTTAATTAATGTTTGGCCCTTTTTTTCTACATTTATCGATCCATTGATGATGATGATGATCATCATCATTATCTCATCCTGAGATGGCCAATCTGATTGCAATGTTTTAGTTTGTTGTTTGAACAAATCATTTTTCACCATCTGACCATCATCATCATCATCATTTACCGATTTGATTTAATTTGATGATCATATTGCCTTTAGGCTTAATTTGTACTTGAACTTTTGTAATAATCTTTGAGATTAGTTTTAGGGACCTTGGATTTTTTTTAACGATCCAAAATATTGATGTGGATCATTTGATCATCATCATCACTGATTGACTCATTAGAGAAACAAGTTTATATTACGTTTTTGAAAAAAAATTATCATCTTTTTCTATGATCCGATAAAGCATTGATTAGGCAATCGAATCGTTTTTGGAATTGAAAATGGCTTTAAATTGAATCCAATTTTATTATGATTCATCATTAAACAATTAATTTGAAATGAAATTTAAAAAAAAATTTCTTTAAAAATTTAGACTGATGGATGGATTATCAAGTAAATTAAACAAATTTTTTCTGTTTGTAAATCTGGTTTATGTAAATAATAAGTAGATTTTTTTTAAATTTCTAAATTTAAACCAAATCGATTGTTGGTTGTTTAATGATAAAAATAAATTGAAATTCATTTGATTTGACCTATGACACGTACACTAACTACTACATAGTTTATCAATAAACTTGACCAATAAAAAACGATTATCGTCAACAAACCAAACTTGAAACAAAATTGTTGTTGTTTGCTGATAAAACCAGCAAACAACAATACGTGTCTTCAAATGCGTAATGTTTCATGTGTGTGTGTGTGTGTGATAATAGAATAGGCAGGCTAATTATAACTTTAAAACTTAAGTGTTTTGAGTGGGTGTGTGTGGTATGTTTATTTAATTTCGATTAGTTTTTAAAAAAATGTTCAAAGATCAATCTGTTTGACAACAGGACAAAAACTGAAGAATTTTTTTTGCTGCTGCTGCTACTGTTGTTGTTTTTTGCTATCGATCGATCGCCTTCGATAATTTGATGGTGAATCAAATAAAAACCGATCAACATTGACCAAACGAATCATCATTTTATATTTTGACATTGTTCGATCAACATTGAATTTTCATTTTTCACCCAAAAAAAATATTTCTTTTTCAAATCAATCTTCAATATCCACAAATTCAGGTTGCTTTGGGTTTTTTAAGCTTGATATTTCGGTATTTTACCGTATTTCAATCTATTTTGATTTCTGAATTTCCAGGGTAAGTTTCCATCAACAATATCATTTCGTGTTTTTCTTTTTCCATCAAAAAACGTTTATTGTCTTGAAAATTGGAAATTTGGAACATTTTGATAATATATCATTCTATAGATGCTAGTCCATGTTTTCAAAATCATCATCATGTTGATGAAAGTGTAGTGTTCCATTTTTGTTCCAAAATATTTAGTTTACATGTTTGCAAAGCATACTAGACAGATTAATTAATAAATAAATATTTTTGATATTGAGAGAGAGAGAGAGAGATGCTAATGCCAATGTGAACGTTTTTTTTTTTGTTGAAGATATTTTTTATTTTATTTGTGATTTATCATCAATCTTGATCTTGAATATTATTTTTTTCTCGTGCGAACTTGTTTTTTTTTCATTCAATTTTACTAGGTTATATAAATTACAAAAATTTTTGCATTCACATTCGATATTTGTGCTTAAATCGTTTCAATACGTGTTGCATATTGTTTGTTTTCAATAATTTTCAGTTTAACATCAACTTTATCATTTCATTATATAACCCATTTTTAGTTTTTGATCTAAAATTAAATATGTGAACGTTTGAAAAATTTCAAATTTACCTTTTTTTGTTTTTCATTTAAAAATTTTCTGCAATTTTGTTTCATTGATCAGCACGTTTTTAATCCATCTTTTCATCGTTTTCATCGTCATATTAGAAAGAATCAATCATGGTTGTACCACCACCAATACCATCATCATCGGATAATTTTAGCACCGGTCCAATTCCGGTTCATAATAATATGACCACCATCACCGCCAATGATAATGTTGATGCATTTCATCATTGTACATCACTTATGGGACAAGGTCTTATCGAACAACTTGGATGGATGTTTTATTATGTTAAACCAAATTCATCAATATTTATGAGCGTTGATGAAGTACCCAATTATGAAGTACAGGTATGTAATTTCTTTTGAACCGAATTAAAATTGATGGTTAAAAATTCAAAAATTTATTCTATGTCTAATAGATATTTCCAATTTTTGGTGTATTGGTCATCATTGAACAAATGATTCGTTTAATGCAACGTAAACGTTTTTCTCGTTTAAGTGATGTTATCGTTAATATTGGAGCTGGTCTCGTATTTGTTGCCGTTCGTGTTGCATTGCTTGGTGTTGTATTGAAATTATTCTATTTTCTTTACGATAATTATCGTATTGTTGATCTACCGAAAAATTGTGTATCAACATGGTTTATATCATTATTATCAGTGGAATTTGTTTATTATTGGGTACATCGTTCATTACATGAAATAAATATCTTTTGGGCAAGTCATCAATTTCATCATAATGCTGTTGAAGTTGATATTTCAGTTACATTACGTGATACTGTTGTCGATTTGGTTATCTATGAAGTAAGTTTTTGAAGAATTTTTTTAAAAATCAATTTTCTTACATTTTTCTTTTCTTTTAGTTTTTCCCAACACCATTAGCATTGTTTGTACCGCCACCAATTCTTTTGGTTCATATGCAATTTTCATTAATCTATCAAGTTTGGTTACATACTGAAGTTGTATCACATTTAGGACCAATCGAATATATAATCAATACACCAAGACAACATCGTGTTCATCATGGCAAAAATCCATGGTGTATTGATAAAAATTATGGTGCATTATTGATGGTATTTGATCGAATTTTTGGTACTTATCAACCGGAAGAAGAGAAAATTGTTTTTGGTACAACTGAAAAACCATATGAAACATTCGATACGGTTACATTACATTTTTATTATTATTATGATTCGGTATGGAAAAAATTTAAATCAATGAATACATTTGGTGATAAAATGCGAGCATTATTTTATGGACCTGGTTGGGCACCAGGAAAACCACGAACGGGTTTATTATCCGACATACCACCTGTCGATATTTATGCACCAATTGAACGATACGATTGTGAAATATCATTCTGGGAATCATTCTATGTTATGTTACATAGTTTTATTATTGCTATGGGTTTCTATGTTATTACTGATCATCCATTGGTTCGTAATTCACCATTGAATGCAATGATCATCATGTTCTACGTTTTGTTTGCATTAACATCATTTGGAACTATATTTGATCGACGGTAAGTTTGTATTTTAAATACATTTTAAATCCGGATTTTAAAAATTTCATTTTATTTGATTATCACAGATCAATTGGTCCATTAGTCGAATCAACACGTTGTTTATTGTTTTTCCCATTCGATTCATATGTAATGCAACCATGGATTGAACAATTATCACCACCATTACATTTACATGTTTTTATTGATTATATGCTTGGTTTAATTCGTTTAATTCATATCATATCGATTGCAGTGTGGTTATTCTTTTGGTTTCGCAATGTTCGCCGTAATCCAACAGCATTGAAAGCTGAATTATTATTGGTTAGCGATAATAAATCAACATTACTTAAAGAAGATAAATGTATCAGTGCATTTGCCTATAGTAACAATATTAATGTTATTAATCAACGACGACCATGGGCTATTGCATTATATGCTGTTACAATGGTAATGTCATTGACATTTATGTTTTTCATATTTGCATTACGTTTCGAAGAATGTAATAGCATTTTCAAGACATCAAACAATATTGAACTTTGAATATATAAATCAATCAATGACATCAATACATCCATTTAAATATAACATGATAACAACAACAACAATCATTTGTGCATCTTCGAATCCATCCATATTGATTTTAAAATGCAAATCTTTTTCTTTCATCTTCATCTCTTTTTTTAAATATTAAATTATATAATCATTCTTATTCTTATTATTATAACCTCATCATTTTAATATGAGCTTTTTCAAACAAGAAATAATTAAAATTTATATTTTTTTGTATCATTTAATTTTAAAAAAATAGTTTCGTTTGTTTATCACAAATTCAATCAGAATTGAGTGAATATAATATCACAATAAATCATTCTGAATTGAGAAAAAAAAATATTTTTGTTTCCAACATTTCAGTCACTAATATGATGTTGATATTCTAAAAGAAAACGATAAAGAATATCTAGATTTAAAAATGATAGCCAATTTTGACCAATATATTCATTAGCCATTATTAATAACATTGATAATGGTACAAGAATAACAACAATTGTTGTTAACAATGTCATTGATAATATTAATGCCGATATTAATATGACAAGTAACATTTGTAAATCACTTGGTTCGGAATCGATAACATGTTTACCACATATATGACTATCAAAATGAACATTTAAATTTAATGGATATGGACCCATATTATTATCATCAACATTGGGACAAGATTGTTGTTTTTCAATACGACGATGCATTCGTTCATCACTAAATGTTAAGTCAATAAATCGATCAGGTTGTTCATTACAAATATCAATTGTTTTATCAATAACACGATTAGTTATATGTGGCATATCGACCAATATAATTGTTGTTAATGTTGGTATCTGTTCTATCAATGTTGTTATAGAATAATCGGTTAACATATTGAATGATGATAAGCTAAGTTGTGTTAATGGAATGTGACGAAGATTTAATAATCCATAATCGGTGATTGATGCATTTCCTAAATGAAAATTTTATTAATAATTTTTATTTCAAAAAAAATTATAAATTAAGAAACATACCGATTAATGTAAGCTCTTTAAGAATTGGACATTGTTCACTTAATGATTGTAATGAAAAATCATTTAACCGTAGATTCCAATCAAAATCACCAATTATCTGTAATCGTTGTAAATTTTTTGATCGTCTTAACATTTGTTCAAATTGTTGATGATTTATGGTTGATGGACTTTCATAGCTACGAATCTGTTCTAATACAAGACTATTCAATGATAATAGGCCAATATCCGATAACCATGTTGTTTGATCATCATTATCCGAATGAAAATGTAGTTCCAATTTGTTAAGTTTATCGAATTCTTTAAAAATTTTCAACGAATCATTTAATGGGCCAAAAATAGATAGATAATGAACATTTTTTCCATTACCAAATGCAATATTTGCTAATATTTGTTCAATTGATTCATCTTCAGCAAGATTACCACAAATTAAACATTCAATATTTTCACCTAAATATCGAACCGATTTTCCCACACGTTGATTATCCGATATATCCAAATAATTAATCGATGAACAATAACGTATCACAGTGGTCAATTGTTGTTCATTCAAATGACATTGTCGTAATGTTAATGATTGTAATAATGGATATGTTCGGTTCAATAATTTCCAGCCATAATCATCTACATAATAATGATTGATAAAAAAACATTTGAAAATAATTACATTTGTCAATAAAAGAAAAAAAGAAAAGAAAAATTCAATCCATTATTGAAAATGTGTGCCTTTTTGTTCACACAGCAAAAATTTTTCATTCATTCATTCATTCGGTTAAGATTTTTAATTTCGATTACCACATTCATTTTATCGAACAGTAAACGAACCGATCCACACATCATAAATTAACAACCCAAAACGAAAACAAAAAACAATTGACATTCATTAACATATATCTTATTATTTTACGGAAATGATTATGTTTTGTTTTTTTTCGTTTTTCGTCTTGCCAGCATAAAAAATGAGGACAGTCGAGAGAGATATTTGCCGGTGTATGATTTAGATTTGTTTTTTTGTTTTTTAAATTGTAATACCACAATAAAAATTGAATACCAATATAAATTGAAAAGTGGTGACTTTTTTCTTTGCATGAAATAATTTATGTTCAATTGTAAATTGATATAAGTCTTATATAACATGCATGCATGCATGCATATTATTATTACGACATGCATGCACGTGAGTGTGTCAATCAAATATCAATCTCCATTCTCCATTTTTGTTTGAAATTCAATTTAGAAACAAATATCTTACCTATGAGACAATTGTTGTTAAATAATAAAAATGGTTCATTTTCAATGAAATTGTTCTCTATTATTGAATTCTTTTGTTGTTGTAACAAGTTAAAATCATTTGTGATTGTCGATTGTGATGATTGTTGACAATTTACAAAACTTAAATGTCGTAATTGATGACAATGTTTTGCAATCAATGCCAATATTGTATCATTTAGTTCAATAACATTATTCATATGTAAATGATGAATATTTGGAAATTTTTCCAATAATTGATTCATTTTAATTAGATAATTATATGATGATTGTTGTTGTTGTCGATCAAGAATCATTGAATATTTAAAACGATTTTGACAACGACAACGACAAAATGTATGTGAAAATTTATGTGAAACCAGCGAAGATTTATTCATTACATATGTTGAAAATAATGATGATGTTGAACAGAATGCATAATTCCAATAATAATGTGATGAAAGTATATCATTAAGATTTGGTAATGATGATGATGATGATAATTTTGTTGATGATGTGAATGATGATGAATACGGCCATATGGATGATAATGATGATTTTGAATTATCATTAAATTGAATATAATCATTATTATCATCATCATCATCATCCGAATCAATATTGTCACTATCATTGGATGAGTTGAAAATATTGTCAATCGGTTCGACTGATATTAAACTTTCATTAAATTGTTTCCATTGATTTATAATTTGTTCAATAAACCATGGTTTATAATTAAATCGATAATTAAATGATTGATTATTTTGTTCATTATCAATTTGTTGTTGATGATGATCATCAATCATTCCGGATTGTTGTCGAGCATCATTAGCTAGATATGAATGAACAGCATAAATTTCTAATGATTTTTCTACAATAGCCATTTGATCTATAACCGATTTCCATTGTTGACAAACTAGACGACATTTTAATCTTTCCATCATTGATAAATGTTCAAATACTGATCGAAGACAATCTTGATTCAATATTATAAACATTGTGTTTTTTTGTTTGGAAAAATATCGATTATAATCACAATAACAAATATTATTATTTGAATCCGAAATATTTGAACGGGACAATTTTCGGAAACGGCAATTCGAATCCATATTTACGGATATTTCGGTTAAAATTTCTTTTTCGAAAATTTGCTGGTATCACCGATCGTTGTTGTTTATTCAATGAGTTTGATTGGCAAAAAAAACAAAACAAAACCAAATCAAAATTGAATAACAAAAATTGTGTTAATCAATTTAACAAAGAGAAAAAATTTTGATGTAAAAAATGTTGTCGTTGTCTTTTTTCCAGGTATTTTGTTGTGGTATTTTCATGATAATAACAACAACAATAATAATAATGAATGAAATCGATGAAGCATGATGATGATGTCCTTGTCGATTATCACTAAAAAACTATTATTCAATGACAATATTTGAATTTACAACAAAATGAATGTTTTTGGTGTCGTTGTCTTTGTCTTTGTTGTTGTTGTTTACGTTATTTTTGGTTAAATAATATTGAATAAGATAAAATATATTAATGACGAAAAAACAGATAAACAAACAGGATCCAACAATTTTTTTCTGTGAAAAAAAAACAACGAAAATTTTAAAATTTTTTAAAATCAGAATTGCTTGCGATTTTGTTGTTGTTGTTGTTTGTTTGTTGGATATTGATTGGGGAAAAACCAAATCTGAAAAAATTGAAAAAACGCTTGATTAATTTTTTGGAAAAAAATCATCAAAATGTCATTTGTGTATTTGGTAAAGAGAAATAACAAGGAGAGAGAAAAAATGGATATATAGAGAGAGAAATAAAATGATAAAACAAAAACCACCACCACCACCCTTACCACCATTTAATGATCATCATCAACTTTTGAAAAAAAATATAGACAATAGAAGATCACGACTTTTTCAACAACAAAAAAAATTTGTTGCCAATGCCAAAAAAGAGAAAGGGTAGAAGGAAATGATAAAATTCACAAATTTTTTTTTTCAAACACGCAATCAAACACATCAAATCCTTTCTCTCTCTCTCACACTTTATCATTCAACCAATCAATCAAACTGATCAATCAAATACATGGATCGATTGATGTCCTTGACAATCAACAACAATGTCATTGGATTGTTGTTTTATGATGATCGAACAAATCGAACAAAGAAAAAAAAAGGATGTTTGTTTATTGTTCGATTTTTTTTATTGGTCACTATTTCAACCGATTCGATTCATATGTAACATTAGCCAATGATGATATTCGTTCGAATTTTATTCGTAGATTTGTTCGATATGGATAATGATGGTAATGGTAATTAAATTGGAGTTTTTCGAGGTTGAAAATCAAAAAAATCAAATTTTTTAATTCAAAAGAAATTGCAAAACATCTCTTTCATTCACCAAACATTCACCAAAAATTTTTAACACACCATCACCATCATCAACATTAACATCACTATCGTTTATCATCGATCAAATGATTATTTTTAACCATTTTTGAAGATATTTAAAGATTATTGGTGCAAATGGAAAAAAATCCATAAAAGTTATTCAATAACAACAACAAAAAAATCTGCACTCATTTTAATCAACAAATTTTTTTTATAAAAACAAAAAAAAATCAAATCAACAATTCGGACGTCACAAACTTTAATCGGTTTGTTTATTTGTTTGTTGTTGTTCAAATTTTCAAATGAAATCAAAACTAAATACGTGTTCAAACACAAACACACCTTCATATCATTTTAGTTTCAATGAGATAAAAAAGAAAAATTTTATGAATTCCAAGAAAAAGGAAAAAAATTGAGTCGAAAAACAAAAGTGATATTGGAAAGAGTGCAAGTGAACGAACGAAAGTAGCATTCATTAAATGTAGGATTTATGAAGATAAATCAAGTTGATGTTTGCTGTTTTTTTCTAATTAATATTCATTTTCATTCAATTTTTCTTATCGAAACAAGTTAATCTTTGTTTTTTACGTAATGTGAGAGAGTGAAAGTGAAAGAGATTTTGCCTTTTCTCAAACACAAACTTTCGTAAAGAAATCTGATTTATTAAATTAATTTTTTCTTACAAAATTCCAAGGAATTTTTTTTTTTGCTGATCATCATTTGATATTTCTCATTTGTTTTTCTTATCACAGAATTAAAAATTTTATTTGTAAGGATGTACGATCCTTGAATTTTTTTTTCGCAAAATATAATAATGGAATTTTTGATTGCTGATAAATTCATCTTGTTATAAATTCAACAGAAATGAATATGATTGTGTTATGATTAAAAAACATAATTTTGTTATTAAATATAAAAATGATATTGATGCAATGAATGATATGATGTACATGAAATTTATCGATGATTCGGTTTTGAATATTGATGAGGATGATCGATGATTTTGCTCGCGTTGCTGTTGTTGTTGTTGTTGAGATGATGATGATGATGGAATGATTGTTGTTCCAAATGAAAATGATCGTTCCATACAAGATGAATATAATGATTGTAAAAAATAAAGTATAAAAACTAATGATATTATAGTTAATGTGGATAGAATTTTCATTCCATTTAATATAATATCCGGTATTGTTAATATTGTTTGAATAAATTGATAATTTGAATGATCAAATAATCGATATGCATATTGAAAATATTTTGATTGTTGTAATATTGATGATGATGATGATGATGATGATGACGAAAATGATGATGATAATGGTTGTGATATGGTTATGGTTAGATTGGGATTATTTTCAGGTAAATTGATTGAATGAATCACAGGTTTCGTTGATATAAAACGATATGATGTTGATGATTGTGATATTTGTATGTTTAAACGACGTAATGGATCTATTAATTAATTATCAATAAATTAATTGATGAAATTTTGTTTACAAAAGAAAAATGTCAAAATCATCATACCTTTTCGATGAATATCGATTATTGATTGAATAAATTTTTCCGGTTGTTCAATATGACAACAATCACGTACAATTAAATCGGTTATTGTTTTGGATCGATTTAATAGGGCTAAAATTCCCAATTGATTTATTGATGGAAAATCAATTAATTGTAATCGTTGTAATTGTGGAAATGTTGATAATATTTGTAAAGCATTATTTGTTGTTGAAAAATCACCCGGATTTATAGCTAAACATGTCATTTTTGGACAATACTCGCGCATATGTTCGAATGTTCGATCATTGAATGGACATTCGAAACCATTTTTCGAATCAAATACAAAACGTTCCAAATTTGGACAACCACGTAATATTTGTAACACTTCTTTATTCATTGATAATGATGTATCATGTGTATTATGCTGGGTAGAAAAAAGAAGAAGATAATTTTTGTTTAATCAAATTCAAAGTCCAAATAAAAAAAATTGTTTAGAACTAAAAATGTACTTACATGATAAATTTCTAAACAACGTAATTGGCTTAAATGACGAATCGATGATAAACATTGTATTGAATCATGTTCATCAAATAATGTACGCCAAAAATGTATTGTTAATCGTTGTAATTGTTTCATACGTTCAATTAATGGAAATTGATTATCAATATAACCTTGTACAAATAATTCTGTTATTGATTGACAGCCAGGACCCGAAACAATTGATAATATTGGTATATATTGAACATCATTATGATTATGATTATGATTGTCATTGATAATTGTTGTTTCCGATGATAAATAATTTCCTAATGATAATGATCGAATTGTTGATGATAAATTACTTAATGCTGTTGCTTGTTCCAAACGATTATCTGTTATATCTAATCGTATTAATTGTCGAAATCCATTAATAATAATAGCCAATTGACGTTCATCAATTTGACAATCTTTAAGAATCAATGTATGAATTTGTTGACCAAATGTAGTGATCATTCGTTGCCAACCATTATATGTAAGGTTTATATGATTTGATTCATCCATACGACTACGACCAACACCATGACATTGAATAAATGAAATTGATTGTAATCGTGGACAATTAATAATTAATTCTTCAATCATATGATCATTCCAATGATTTATTGATTCAAATCGGATGGTACGAAGATTTGGAAAACGTTTCAACATTAAACAATAACATTGATAACGTATAAATGGATATGGCCATTTTATTGTATTTAAATTATTGTTTGATATTTGAAAATCATTATCATCAACATCTTCACCGAAAATAGTATTTTGTGGTCGATATTGTCGTTGTTGTAAATGTAAATGTTTTCGACATTGATAATGACGATCATAACCCTGGATATTCAATTCGGATTGTATCAATGCTAAACAATTTGCTGACCAATTCCATATTGTCGAAATTTGACGACATTGTTCACGATCATTAATTGATAAATTTTTCAATATTTCAATTATACAATCAATATTTTTGATTGTTGCCATAATTATTGTCACTGTGTGTGTGTAGTGTTTCACATTAATAATGATGATGATAACAAAGAATTGATTGATGGAAAAATTTTTCAAATTGATTTTGAACTTCAAAAAAAAAAAAATTATTTCAAAACATACGAATTGAAGATGAAAATGAAGATGATGATCAGATGAAAATATCCTACTTTTTTATTGGGTCAATGTTTTTCTTCTTTTTCGTCGTCGTCGTCGGTTTTTCTATCATTTATAGTACAGTTAATTTGTTTCGAATCAATTCGAATCGAATCGAAAAAATAGAAAATTTGAAGCAAACAAACAAGTTCCAACTTTTCTCTTATGTAGCATATACACACACAGAGATTTAGTTGTTCGACCACTTATGGTGGTATGTTGTCAATTTGAAAAAAAAAGAGAACAAAGATCCAAAAAAAGAAATGAAATGAATTCCATCAAACAAACAAACAAAAAATTTCTTTCGGTTTTTTTTCGTCTTAGTTCATATTTCAGGTATTTTCATAAATCTTCAATTCAATTCATCTCCTTCTCTCTCACACAGACAATATGACTGATGAATAAAAAAAAATGATAATTTGAAACAATTTGGTTTCTCTCTTTTTCTCATTGGTTTTATTTTTATTTTTTAAGAAAAAAAAATATTTTTGGCTTCAGTTTATCATTGATTTTTTTTTTCGTTGCCTCTTTTTCTTATTTGATGAAATGAGAAGGAAAAAAAATCTGGCAAATTATCAAAATGATAAAACGAAAAACATTCAAATCAAATAGGAGAAAAAGGAAAAAAAAACTGTACTTTTTATTTTGATGATGAAAATGAATTGAATTTTTTTCCACTTCAAAAAAAAGTTGGTTTCGGCACAAACACAAGCATGCACTAAACTTGTGATAAATATTAATTTGGGTTTTTTTTGTGTTCCATTTCAATAGATGTTTTTGTTTTTGTTAAAAAACATAATCTTATAGAGGGTGTTAGGGGTTAAATTGATAGAGATTATTCGAAAAAGAAAATAAAATTTCAAAAAGAAAAATTTCCCGAATTTTTTTTTTTTGAACGAAAAAAAAACTTTACAGAAATATTCGAATGTTTGCGTGTGTCTTGGTTTTGTGTACGTTTGAACAGCCGAACAACATACATTTTGGCCCAATTTTTTTTCCTCTTGTTGTTTGTTTGTTGTTGCCTTATTTTTTTCATCTTTAAATCGTGATTATTGTGACATCCCATCATCATCATCATCATCGTCATCAATTTGATTTGAGCACGAAAGAATTAAAACAAAAAATTCCTATTATATTGAGCTGATTACTGATAATTATTATTACTATTTTTCTCTATAGAGATATCGATGCCAAACGATTTCAATAACAACCAAACCAAATCTAATCCAACCCATTTCAATACCGATTGAATCATTTTTTTTTGTTATGTTAAACAACCAATAATAGTTGATAATCTTGGTTATCAATTTTGTTTTTTTATTATAATCATCATTATCATCATCATTGAATATGTTTTTTATGGCTGACTAAAATTGTCACTATTTGTCAACTAATTTTGCCTGTTGCAATAACTGTTGTCGATGCCGTTGTTATTTGTCAATTTACAAATTACATCTACATGTGAAAAGTAACAAAAAAAAATTTGTTCGCCCATTTTTTTTGACGGAAAAGATATTTTTTTCGAAGAAAAATCCTATATGATTGATTGATTGTTTTTTTTCGAGTGCCTTCAATGCTTCGGAAACAAAGATTGACCGAAAATAATTAGTTTTTTGTTTTGTTTTTTTGTGGCTCATTTTACTCGATCCCACTAATATCAACTCGAAATGTTTTCGTCATTCAAAACAACAACAGCAAAAATGTTCGATTCCTATTTCAATCCAATTTGGTGATTTTTTTTTGTTTGTTTTGTTTTTTATTCGATTGAAAATTGATATTTATCAATCAATCAATCGTCGTCATCATTAACATCAAGATTAGATCAAAGGTTATTTTGTTTTTGAAACATTGAAATTAATCACAACAAAATAATAACAACAAATTTTAGAACTTTAGTTTTTTTTTTGAATTCGTTCATTTTCAAATTTCTTTGCTGTTGAAATTTTTTCTCGGCATACGATCAGATGATGATGGGGATATTATTTCGATCATCATCATTTTTATTGATGATTATATTAATATCAATTTCAATGGTAAACACAAATAAAATTGAAGATAATGATAGAAAAAATACTGTACCATCACTTTATCGAATATTTAAAGTGTTATATGTTAGAGATTCATCGGATCATTTAACAAAACCACTTTGTACAGTAAATTTTTTTACATCATCATCTAATCTGGTAAGATGTTTTTTTTTTCACTTTGTTTTTGGATTGAATTCAATTTCATTTTTTTCCAGTCAATCATCAATGATGAATATCGACCATATAGACATCATATTAATGATAATCTTTGTGATCCACTTTCAGCCACATTATTAGCATCAGCAGTGTTTGATAAAAACATTGATATTAATGGCCGTAAATATTATTCGTTTGATTATCGAGAAGAATGTTCAATTAATGAACAGGTGGAAAATTTTTTAACGTTTCACTTGAATCGATCAAATGATAATAAAGCAATTCCATTAGGAATTTTATTTTTAACACCTTGTCAGGTCAATATTACTGCCCGTTTTAATCTTAGTAATGAGTAAGTTTTTTAAATTCTGTTATTTTCAATTGAAAATAATTATAATGGAATTTTTTTTTTTGATTTAGTACCATTGAATTGATGGAAAAATATAATATTACAGTGTCTGTGATTAATATGAAGAAAAATACGAGAATAGAAATATTTTCTTTCGATCAAATACGATGGCCAAAACAATCAAAACAACAATCATTATCATTTAAATCATTCATACCAATGATAATTATATTCTTGATTGCTATAATCACAATATTTATTGGTTCATATTGGAGTGGTTTAGTTCGTTATGAAATCTATCAAACAACATTATTGAATATTCTACCTACTGATAGTAAGTATAAATGATAATGATGATGTCTATTTTTAATCTTTGTTTATTTTTATTTATTTTATAGATAAAAATAGACAAACATCATCTGATTCAGATAAAAGATTATCATCATTAAAACGTTCATCAAATGATAATAATGAACAACCATTTGCAAATATATCATTATATTCAGTAATATTATTGGTTATATTTATGATTACAGCATTATTATTATTATATTTTTTCTACAAATATTTGGTCTATTTTATTCTGGCCTTATTTTTGATTACATCAATGACATCAATGTTTATATGTTTAGAAGCATTTATTGGATGGTTACCATTACCGGCTTCTATAATGAAAGCAACATTTTCAATACCAAGTTCTTCATGGTGGCGAGAACAACATTTAAAATTAATCGACATGATTATTGCCGTTATTAGTATCATTGTACCAGCATATTGGTTTGCTGTTCGTCATCAATTTGATGGTGCATGGATTATACAAGATTTTTTGGGATTTTTTTTCTGTGTTAACATGTTAAGAACATTACGACTTCCTTCATTGCGTATCTGTACATATTTATTATCGATTCTATTTTTGTATGATATTTTTTTCGTTTTCATTACACCATTGTTAACATCCAAAGGTAAATTCCCAGTTTATTTCCTGTTAATAAATTCATAATTATAATTTGTTTGTTTTTTCAAAAGGTCAATCAATAATGGTTGAAGTTGCAACTGGTGGAAATGGACAATCATCATCATCATCAAATTCGATAACAAATTATCTTGAATATCGTTGTGAAGGAAAACCTATTGAAACATTACCAATGTTATTTCGTGTGCCACAAAAATTATTTCAATATGATCCATTGGATTTTTATGATGTTTGTACACGTGGTTCAGATTCAATGCTTGGTTATGGCGATGTTATGATACCAGGCCTATTGATTGCATATTGTTCAGCATTTGATCGTATTGAAAACATTCCATATTTTTTGTATTTTTCTATATCTTTGATTGCCTATTCTATTGGATTGATTGTTACATTTGCAGGTAATGAGAATTAATAATTGTTATTTTTCTTCTGATTAATCAATTAATTACATTTTATTTTCCGACAAAAATATAGCTTTAATATTTATGGAAGGTGCTGCCCAACCTGCACTTTTATATCTAGTACCATTTACATTGTTACCATTATTTATTATCGCACTAATACGACGTCATTATCATTCATTATGGAATGGACCAGAAAAATCATCATTATCATTGATTATGAATGATGAACAACAACAACAACAAGTGATACCATCATCATCATCATCATCATCGACAGCATCAACATCATCTACTAATGATGATTGTAATGTTAATGTTAATGAATCAACAAAATGATTGACATCTGGTGGTGAATTTTTTTTTATTGAAAAAGAAAACAAAACAACAACATTAACAGCTGAGTTTACAAAAACAAAAAAAAAAATTCAAATCAATCAAAATAACGATGGACTAATTTAAAAAAAATAAAAAAAAACGTTGAACGAAAAAAAAACAATACAAAAAATCATCTTGAAAATGAATTAATTTTGGATCTCTTTATAATGATAGTAAATTTTTTTTTCAATTTTCAAAATATGTAATATGTGAAATAATCAATAAAAATTGATAATTTAAAAAAATTTTGATGAACTTTTTTTTTAATTAAAACAAAAGGATAAATTTATTTGTCAAATCATGGTATGTTTTTTTATTTCATTTTATATTTTAGCTTTGATCTAATGAATGCAACAAACAAAATGAAAAAATATGAAATTGGATCCAATACGGATAAATAATCGATTATAAAATCGATATATCATCATTATTATCATTATCCATTGAATATTATAGGCTACATAAGCATAAAATGAATGAATGAAATTTTTTTCATCGAAATATAATATCCATGGATAGAGTAATTGATTTTCAAAAAAAAAAAAACAATTTCAACAATGTTGTTGTTGTGTGAAAGTGGGACTTTGATTTCATTTCATTCAAGGTAAACATCTTACATCTTAGCTTGTTGAACGTGGTCGATGATGATGATGATGATAATTGAATAAATCTTGTTTTTTTTATTTGCTGAATAAAAATTTGCATGGAGTTTTTCTCACATTCTTTCTTTATTTCTCTTTTTTTTGGATAGTGGTGTTTTGCTCATTTTTCTTTTCTTTTCTGATTTGTATTATGTAATTGATTGTTTTTATTTTTGGAAATCTTCATTGATTTTTGTTGTTGTTGTTGCTAATTAAATTCTTCGTGAAATCATTGATCTTATTCCGTTTTCTTGTTTTTGTTTATAAAACTTATTCAATATCCGCTTATTCGACAAATAAATTGTTTTGTTTTTTTTTCAACCGAAAAAGAAATCATTATCCACGATGATCATTCGAAATTTTTTTTTTTGTACTTGATTTTTTCCTAGGTTAATTTGAGTTCATCATCAATAATAATCTAATGATAACCCGAAAAAAAAACATTTTTGCTTGTCATGATTTTCTTATTCGGATGTTGTGTTTTAATGTAGAACATTTGTATTTTTTTTCAGCTGTTATTTGAAATTTGATTTGAATTGAGATAAATATTTCAAATCGACATACAAACGAACGAACGAGCAACAAAATTACCATCATCAATAATGGATGAAAAAACTAATAATGATGATGAAACGGAAACCAAAACTGTGATGAAAAATAAAGAAAAATTAGCGATAAAGAAAAATCGTCGTTCATCATCAATAGTACCACCAAGAATACCATATAGAACAATATTCAAACCAGATTCGATTAATAATATTTATCTGGGTAATTTACCAATTGAAGCAAAAATTATTAATTATGAAGAAACATCATTCATATTTTCACCATATATCTATCATATTGAATTAAATCATGGACATTTTAATTGGATTATTAAACGTCGTTTTAATCAATTTCGTCAGCTACATAATCAGATTCGAATGTTTTATACAAAATTAGCTATTCCATTACCAACCGAAAATAGCCGTCAGAATCGTAAAATTCTTGAACGTTTTGGTGAAATTGAATGGCCAAAATTTCCTTTTTTACCCGAAATGTTTTATATTGCCGATGGTATTAGCCGTCGTATTGTATGTGTGACCGAAATATTTTATTTTCATAAAATTATTTTCAAAATTTTATTTTAATTGTTTTGTTTTCATTTGAAAAATAGAAAATTCTTGAAGATTATCTTCGATTTTTACTTGGACTTTCATTATTTCGTCATCATCCATCATTATTACAATTTTTATCGATTAGTCCATATTCATTTATTGAAGATCTTGGTTTAAAAGGTGAAGAAATTTTAGTAAAAAAACGTGCCGGTGGTTTTCGTTCGGCAACATATTGTGTTCGTATTGAAAATTTTTTCACCGATCTTACTGGTCATTGGCGTAAACGATGGCTAGTCGTCAAGGATACATGTTTATTTTATCTAGAACCTCATGATAAAAAAATTCATTATGTAATGTTATTTGATCCAGATTTTTATGCTGATTCTGGTATCAAAGAAACTGGTATTACATTTGGTGTACGTATACGTAATATGTCTCGACAGCTTGTAATGAAATGTTTTACTGCAAAACAAGCAAAAGAATTAGCTGATTATTTGAATGAATATTCTCGAATTAATGCCAAAGAATTTGTACAACGTAATCGTTTTGGTTCGTATGTTCCGGTACGAAAATCTATACATAGTCAATGGTTTGTTGATGGTTGTGCTTATTTTGAAGCTGTATCACAAGCAATGGATATGGCTAAAGAAGAAATTTTTATTACTGATTGGTGGTTATCACCTGAAATTTATCTACAAAGACCTAGTCTTGGTTTAGATTGGCGCCTGGATCGTTTGTTATGGAAAAAAGCATGTTCCGGTGTAAGAATATTTATATTACTGTATAAAGAAATGGAAATTGGTATCAGTATTAATTCAATTTATACAAAACGTACATTAATGAAAATGCATGAAAATATTGCCGTATTAAGACATCCAGATGCTGTACGTGGTGGACCATTATTATGGTCACATCATGAAAAATTAGTTATTATTGATCAACAGGTTGCATTTGTTGGCGGTATTGATCTTTGTTTTGGTCGTTGGGATAATTTTGAACATCTTCTCATTGATCAAGGTGGAATTTTTTTCAAAACACAACCAAATGAGTAAGTTGATTCTATTTGATAATAATTTCATTCGAATTTTTCTCTTGTTATCTTTGTTGTATAACAGCATTATTCGTAATTCAACAAGACCTAATGGTTTATTATATCGTTCAATATCACAACCATTTTTAGCTGATATTTCTTTAGAAACATCTGATAATAATTCTCCCATTTCCAAAGAAACGATTCCTACTGCTGGTAATGGTGGTGGTAAATTTCGAAAAAAACGTTCTATAACTACTAATGCTGTTTCCATAGCGAATAATGATAAACAAAATGGACCAATAAAGATGGTTGGTGATGATACCATTGAAACAAGATCGGTGGCCGATATTGAAGAAATTCTTATTGAAAATGAAAACATAAGCAGACGTTCATCATCATCGTCATCAACAGTGGACAATGATGGAGATGATGATGATGCGGATTATGATGAAATCGATGAAGAACAACAAGTAAAAAAAGTTATTTCACAACAGATGAAAGGAAATTTTTTCTCAAAAAATCGAATTACAAGAAAATTACGTGCAAAACAAACACGTGCAATGACACGTCTTCGACGTATTCGGCGACGAATTAGACGTCGTGTACGTACATCTAAAGCTGAAGAAATATCAATCATATCAACCGATGAAGATAGTAATGTAGAAATAACACCGGATTTTTTTAAACAAAGTATACCACGTGTACAGAATAACAATGATGATGTTTCATATGATGAATTGGAAGGTGCAGCTAAATTATGGATCGGAAAAGATTATACAAATTTTATTGTCAAAGATTTTACTCATTTAAATATGCCATTTCAAGATTCGATTGATCGTAATACGACACCAAGAATGCCATGGCATGATGTTTCTTGTGTTGTGATCGGTGATGCAGCACGTGATGTTGCACGTCATTTTATCGAACGTTGGAATCATACAAAATTTTCAAAAGCAAAATTTAAAGAACGATATCCATGGTTAATACCGAAAACTTATCGAAAAAATTTGTTGATTACGACGAATGCCAATGTAACTGATGGTCAAATAGAAATGGATCAAATACCACCTTATTTAACTCGGGCTCATCGTGTTCGTTGTCAAACTGTAAGTTCAAATTTTTTTCGAATTTTAATAATTTTTTTGTTTCCTTCCCCCAAAAAAAAGTTACGTTCGGTTAGTTCATGGTCGATCGGTAATCGACAAACGGAAGCATCAATTGTTGATGCATACATCGAAGTGATCAATCAGGCTGAACATTATATTTATATTGAAAATCAATTTTTTATTTCACAAACAAAAACTCATCTTGAATATACAGATCTCGTTAAGAATCGAATAGCGGAAGCCCTTTACCGGCGTATATTACGTGCCTTTCGTAATGGTCATACATTTCGTGTATTCATACTCATTCCATTGTTGCCAGCGTTTGAAGGTGAAGTTGGCACCAGTAGCGGTACAGCAATTCAACAAATTATGCATTATAATTATTCAACAATTTGTAAAGGTTATGATTCATTAATGGCAAAATTAAGTTTAGAAATTGATGATCCAAGTCAATATATTGGTTTCTATAGCCTTCGAAATCATACCAAATTGAATGGACGATTAGTCACCGAATTGATCTATATTCATAGGTAAGTTGCTGTCATTTTATTTCTGAAATAAAAATCGTATTTCAACGTTTCTTTTTCTTTTTTTTTAATTTTCGATAAATTCAAAAGCAAAATTCTTATAGCAGATGATAAAATCAGTATTATTGGTTCGGCCAACATTAACGATCGTTCAATGTTGGGTAATCGTGATTCAGAAGTATGTGTAATTATTGAAGATGAAGAATATGATTTCTTTTTTATGAATGAAAAACCATATAAATCGGGAAAATTTTCCGGTTCATTGCGACGAATGTTAATGCGTGAACATCTTGGTATATATAAGGAAAACAAAGAAGATATGCTCAAAATGACCGATCTGGTTAATGATCCGATTTCCGATCAATTTTGGAATAAAATTTGGAATGCCCGAGCAAAAGAAAATACTGAAATTTATGAAAAAGTATTTCCGATTATACCTACGGATGATGTAAGAAAATTATCTGATATAAATATCTACTTAGGAAGAGAAAAACTATATAAAACAGATCAAACAAAAGCTGAAGAAATGCTTTCATTAATCAAAGGTCATCTAGTCATGTTACCATTACAATTTCTTTGTGAAGAATTACAAATCATTTATAGTGCACAGGATCGTTTTATTCCACAGATTATTTGGACTTGAAAAATGAATGAAAACGCAAACAATGACAAAATCAAACGATAATTTCAAAATTTCCGAATCACCGTAATTTCATAATTCGATCGTTCGGGAAATTTCTGGGACAAAAATTTGTAATTTTACAATGAAACAATCATAATACATTTTTCATACATTCATTCAATACATTTAACATTTTATTTTATTTATTCATATTTTTTTCATCTTAATGTCTCTCTATATATAGAAAAAAAAGAAATAAAAACATAAACAATTTATATATTGAAAAATGATCGTGAACAGAGTGAAATTTGAAAAATCAAAATCAATTGTAAAAAAAAATCAAATATAAAATTGGAAATTATCATCCTAAGTAAAGTAAAAAATTCAAGCGAATGTAAAACAGATTCTTTATTTTTTTCAACGATGTCATCGAACATGACAATCATCCGAATCTAATTGATCATTAGAATTATGATGAATATGATATGATTGTTGATGGTTAAAATACTGATTCAATTGTTGAATATAATCATTATCTTCAAGATATGCATAAGATGGTTTAATAATATTTTCATAAACAAAATGTATCGTTGTAGGATTATTAGGTATTACACATTGTACAAGTATTATTCCTTTTATAACAAATCCAAGAGGAATTAGACTTCCAAACAATAAATCGACAGTAATGAAAAATGACATAAATATCCAAAATCTTTATTTTTTTAAAAAATTAAACATTATTAATCAGGATTAAAGTGAGGGAAAAAAATAAATAAATAAACATACTTAACCAGATCAATTAGATCTTCACGTTGTAAATTATCATTATATTTAAGTTTATAATATGAACGATATGATGGATAAAGAAACATGATTATGCGTGATAATGTATCCAGGAATGTATAGCTAAATATAAGATAACCAATTGATAATATTAATAATATTCGTGCTAAAAAATGTTTTGATATATTTGTACGTTGTTCTAATGTCATCAATGCTTGTACAATAAGATTATCTTCAGTTTCAAGAAAACGATCCATTGTTTCAAGAACATTATTAAACATTGTTTTTAATGCTGCAGCTTGTTGTTGTTGTTGATTGATAGAATTGACAGAATTAGCTGCTGTTGTGGATTTATTTTTTGTTTTCATTTTTCGTTTGATTTTTTTTTTCACTAATTATTTTGATGACGATGATGATTTGATTTAGAAAACAATAAATTTTTTCTTTTTGGCAAATTCGATCAAATATAATTAGTGTAATATGAGTTTTGAGCATCAGCAACAAATGATGATCATTCGATGATCAACAAATAAAATGATGCGTTCGATTTTTGATTTTTTTTATGATGATGATGATAATGTAAACTGTTTATTTGATTGTTTGTCATCATCAAAACATCAAAATAATGATGATTTCAACATTTTTTTTTTGTTGTTGTTGTTTTGACTGTTTTTTTTTCTCATTCATATAAAAAGATTATGTATTCAATTTCTATTGTATGAAAATGATGATAATACTTTTTATTATCATCATCATTTTAAAAGAGACGTAGAAATTGAGTTGTTTTTATTATTATTAAATGTGATTCAATACCACCACCACCACCACAATATCATCATTATACAGGACTTGATCGAGAAGCGATGGATGGAGATGGAGAAAAAGAGACGATCATTATGATCTGTCATTTTTTCCTTCTGTCAGTCTGTGTATGGAAAGAGTATGTATTTATTTATTTTTTTTCAATGACGACCATTATTATCATCATTATTGTAATGATGATGTTGATGGTAGGTTGAATCGTAATAGTGGTTGATGATGATGATGATGATTGTCTACGACGTTTGTCCACAAAAATAACAAATAACAATCCAAAAGAGAAAAAAAACATTGGAATTTGATATTTAGGCGCCCATTAAAACCAGGAAAACCATACTTGTTGCATATACGAATAATTATTATAATTAAAACAAAAACAATTATGTTTATAATGATGATGATAATGAAAATCTCAAAAAAAAAACGAAACAATAAATTATAGGGTAATGAATTTTATTATGACGATGCTTTAATTTTAAATGATCAACCTTTTTTTATTCATTAATTCGAATTCAACAACAACAACAAGAGCCGAATTGAAATTTGATTAATTCAAATTCGAACAAAATAAAATTCGAATCTTTTTCTTTTTACGGAATATAAAATGGCATCAAATTTGCCTTTATGGCGAATTAGGAAAAGACTTGTTTTTCGGAATTTTATTATTATTATTATTATAATTTTTTGGTTCGATTTTATTCGTTAATTAATCAATAATTCATGTCATCATTTGGTGCAACATTATTCGATTCAATAATCACTGATGAAAATGATGATAATAATGATATTTATGATGGTGATAATCGAATGAAAAGTTTAGGAAATCATATTAAAAAAATGATTCGTAATTGGAATATACCTGATAATATGGAAATATTATCGGAAGAAACATTTTTTGAACATCAACATCGACAACAATATCGTCAACAACAACAACAACAACAGCAACCAATGGAAGCATTATATCGTTTGATACGAATGGATATTTCCGAACAAAATGTTAAACATTCAAAAAATGATAATGAAGCAAATCGTTTTTTACAAATGGGACTATATTTTTTTCGTAATCGACGATATGTTGATCTAAATTTAGCAATCAATTGTTTTTCACGTGCAATTTTGACAGCAAATAATACTCGTTTAGTATTTGAATCATATTATCATCGTGCATTGGCATTTTTATCGAAAAAATTATTCTATTATTCATTTTTTGATTCAAATTATTATCTGGAAAATGTTATAGAAGATAGTGATAATAAACGTACAATAAGTGAATGTTATATTGAATCATGTGTAGAGATTATTGATTCTAACCTGAATAAAGCATCATGTTTTGGTCGTTCGGATTATCGTATACAACGTTGGATGCGTATAGCTTCGGAATTTTTAGATCGTGCACGAATTGAATTGGCCATACAGATGCTTCAACAAACAGCAACACCAACAACAACAACAACAACGACAACAACCGCAACAAAACCAAAACCATCTGATCGTTTAATACAATGGATGCGTAAATTAGATACATTTGAATTTAAAATTGATCTAACACCAGCAATGGCTGCAAAGAAATTTCAATTTTTTCCTTATAAACATAGTAATATTGAACAGGTTGTTGATTTGAATCAAAATTGTTATAAAGATAATCAGGTTCAACCACGTGGTCATGATATTTTGTATGAAAAACCATTGTCAGCATTAACAACCAAACCACTTCGTTATTGTGGTTGGTGTTCCAATTGGATTGGTTATAAATTTATACCATGTACAAGATGTGATCAAACAATTTATTGTAATAATTATTGTCGTCGTTTAGATGAAGAATTTGGTGGACATTTTAAAATTTGTTGTTATCATTATCGTGTTGCTGAATTATTAGGTGTTGAGTGTTATATGATTTATGCTGAAGCAGCAAAAACAAAAAAAATTATCATTCCATCATCATCGTCATCATCGCCATTACCAACACCATTATCATTATCGATGGGTCTAAATACACCTAATAATGATGATGATCAACTACAACCATTCAAAATTGCTGTTGATAATGAAAATCAAATCCGATTTCGTGCAATTATTCTGTCATATATTATTCAGCAGAAAATTTTTCGTGGTACATTACAACCAAATGTTCATTATTATCGTGAAATATTAACCGATTTACGTAATCGTTATCGTTCACCATTTTTAGCAAAACGTATTTCTGAAAAATTTATTATCGATAATGATGGTACATTAATTGTACAGAAAAGATCCGATATATATGGTAATGGTGTTATCGAATATCTAATTGAATGTTGTACAAATAATACAACAGGAACCGCAACAAACCAAACAACAACAATACCATTTTTAGAATCATTACCAATGAATACGGACAAAGATCTTCAACAACAACAACAGAAAAATGGTAATATTGGTAGATATTTTAAATCCGGTAAAATTGTCTACAAAGCATTAGTCGATTTTGATCAAAGAATTCAATTCTATCCACGTCTAATATTACAATTATAAGTGAAAAAAAAGATAACAACAACAAAAATAAATTATTCAAAAATTTTTTTTTATTTTAATAAATATAAATATCAATCAAATTTTTAATGAAAAAAAATTTATAATAATAATAATAATAATAATCGAAATTCAAATTCAGATTAAAATTTTCAAATAGCAATAATAATAATAATAATAATCTGTGAATACAAAAATATTATCTTTTTTTTTTGGTTGTCCAAATGAAAAAAAATGATGTGTGTGTGTGTCCAATTTTCTATAGCAAATAACAACAACAATAATGAGGATTTGGTTTTGTTTTGTTTTTCACCATTTATCAACATGGAAAAATACTATGCATCAATATTATGAATGTGAAAATGTAAAGTTTTTTTTAAGCAGTAGTGGAGAAGACATTTTGATTTTTTTTATAGAGAATTTTGCGTAGAATTGAAATTATTGATATCGACAAACAAAAAAAAACATTGCCAGTTTTCATATGTCAATGATTAAAATTGATCAATGTTGTTGTTGTTGTGTTAATAACACTAAATAATAACTTTTGTTTTGCTTTTATGGAAGAAATATGTTTCGATGATGAAGAAGATGATAGAAAAATTAACCACAAGTAAAAATGAGAGATAATTTGAATTGATAACTAACAAAAAAAAGTTATTCTAAAATTCTTACTATGATTTTTTAAAAATTTTCGTTTTGTTTTTTTTTGGACACAAAGATGAGATTAGATTATTTCAAATAACAAAAGAGAATTTTTCTGAAGAAAATACTGATTTTTGATCCCCTTCCATTTTTATTGGGAAGCTATTTCCTGAGCATGAAGATTGTTAATCATTCACGACGTAAACGTTTATTATTTGAATTTTGATTGATATTTATATTAGAAGACGATTGATTTGTGCGTATTTGTTGTCCACCACCGCAAGTTGATGATGGTGAATTTGCTATCGTTGATTTTGATCCATAGTTCGTCGTCGTCGTCGTCGATGATGATAAAATATAATCCATTTCCGAAAATGGACCACAAGAAGACTTACCGGCTAGTAATAACGGAAATAGAAAACATTTATATAAATTAATTATAGAAACTTTCTTTTTTTAATTCAGAAAAAACTTACTCGAAAACATTCGATTTGTATTACCAATTCCGGTGCTGCTACGTTTTCCGTGATTAAAAATATTTACTTGTGATTGTGCTGTTAGCTGTAATTGTATGGCTGATGTATTCAATTTATCCGCTGTTAAAAGATTTTTGATACCGGAAAATTTTTTACTAACTAAAATGGCAACAATTTTTCCATCATTATGATGATGATCATCATTTTCAGTGTCATCACCATTGCTAAAATGATCCATTTTTTCAATAGATTTTGGTTTCATTTCTATTTCATTCGAATCGCCATTATTATTTATTTCCTGTTTAATTGCCATAACAGGTGGCGTTGCCGGTTGTTGACCAATCGATGCTGCACGTCTTCGTCGTCTTTCACGACCAATTAGATGTTGATTACCACTAACAATATTTATATTATGATTTTCTGAATTTTCAATCAAATCATCCGAATGATAGTGATGATGATCAACATCACCAATCAATGATGATTGATGATTAAATTGATGTTTAATATTTAATGTTGGATCAACTTTAATTATAATCTGAGATCTTGTACGATATGGAAATTTTGATATTGTCGATACAATTGGTTTTGTCCAACCAATATGTAATACAGGTGTTGTTGAATCTTCTTCCCATGCACAAAGACCATCATAAAATTGTAACAAATATACAAAACATTCTGGATCATCAATAATGGAATCTATTCGATTACCAGTATCATCATTACCATCAGCTGCAATGGCGGTAGAAGTAGAATATTTTACTATATATGGTATGAGATCATTAGATATCTCTTGAAATTCTTTATAAATTTCTTCATCATCACGTGTATAATTATATTTCATTACAACACGTGCAGCATCAGCCCATGCTCTAAATGCTTGTTTAAATTGTCGTTTACGAAAATAATAACCACCCAGGTATGTATATGGATAGACATGATAATCATTATAATACTTTCGTGCAGATTCAATAGCTTCATTAAATAATTCCAATGGATGTTTACGTGCTGTTGTTGAATGAATAGAACAAACATCTTCGATATCGCCAAGATTACCCAATGCCATTGGATAACGTTCTAAATAACCGAAATCATATAGGATCCAAAGAAGATGCTGTTGTAAAATGGCCAGCTCTTCCGAATCTTGTGTTGCATTTATCGATAAATTCATAGCCGATACAAGTGTTCCTATTGTTTGAAATCGATCACATGTCATTGTGTTACCATTTAAATATAACCAACAATTCAATGATTCCATGGTTGTTGGTATAGATTGTCCACAACGATCATCATTACCACATTTTCCATGCCATGTAACTTCACATGTTTCACCTTAAATCAATTGAATCATAACCAAAATAAGAGAAAAAACAAACAAACAAATTTAACTTACCTTGACCAAATGTAACCCATGCATGATCTTCGGACATAACAAGTCGAACGTCATCAAGGCCAAGAATCTGACAAGCTGCCAATACTGTATATGCAACACCATAACAATCCAATTTATTCTCACTAACATAGCTATAAATTGTTTGTAAATGTGCACGATCTTTATAATGTGATCGGTGTAGATTTGACCAGATTAATTCAGAGATCTTTTTTATAAGCTCACGTAAATCATTGTTTCTGTTGGTAGTAGTTGTATGATTTGAATCTTGATTACTATTACTGTCATTATTTGGCTTATTTATCAATTCAACATTATCCGTTATAAATTTATCGAGATCAATCGATTCTATTAAAATAGATCAGGTAAAATAAAAAAGAAAATAAATCAAATTAGTAATACACAATCAAAACACACACTCACTGACACCGGTACCGGTCGATCTGTCAAACTAGATATGCCTGTCGGCCAATGTGTTAACAACAACTTCAGTCAATCTTTTTTCTCTCGATCTTCACTCTACATTTCATTCAATGATCCAAACACAAAAAAAAACAACAACAGATGTCTATATGAATGATCATTGTGTTTAAGTATAGTGTGTCCTGGATCTAAACGGACATGACAGCTGTTCCAAAAACATACAATAGTTTTTACACTTCATTAGTTTTCAATGTACAATTCACCACTCTCGCGCGTAGGGTCAACAAGTAACGAACTTTTTTTTCTGTTGTTGCTTTGCCCCCATATTTGATATTCATTTCCGATCAGTATAATAATAATGAAAATCGATTTTGTTGTTTTTGCTTACCTTTAATATGTTGTTGAAATTTTTTCAATAAATTTTCAACATTTTCATAATAAACAGTTGGTATTGGTATATCTAATGGTGTATGTATTATATTCGATACAATTGGTACAATTGGTGCAATCGATGCTTCAGCTGGTGAATAGCTACCATTATTCATTGTTGTTGTTGAATTTTGTCTTTGTCCATTAACATTATCTGTCATTATTGATGGTGACTGTTGTTGTTGATCATGAGAATCGGATAAAGTTGTTGTCATTGAATTTTCATTGTTGTTGATCGATGTTGTTGTCGTTTCCGAATGATCTACATATAGACCACGTGTCAAAGATGTTTCAATAATACCCAATACAATAGATAATAATGCTAAATCTGGTTCATTTCGATTCGTTGATTGATCATTATTATCATCATCATCATTATTATCATTAAATTGTCCAGGATCTAATTGTGATCGAAATAATTCACAAACAGAACCGATTGTACGTAATGGAAAAAAACTACGTATCGATCTTGATGAATTTAATGTCGTCGTCGTCGATGATGATAATGATGATGCCGGAAGACTTGACTGTTGTTGTTGTTGATGATCTGATGATTTCGATGATGATGAATCAATGATTGATTTAGCTGCTTGTTTATTTTGACAACGATTAGATCGTCTTCTTTGTTGTTGTTGTTGCTGTCCTGTAGATTCATTATCGTTAAAATTCTTAATAATAGTATCACTAATTGTCGGTGGTAACGTCGTTTGTGGACATGTTGCCGATGTCGATATATCCGCTAGCGGATGTTGTTCCGTTGCTGTTGCTGTAGCCGCTATTTTTAATGTTCGATTTCTTAAATTCATTGTCGTTATTGGACCGATTGTTGTTGTTGTTGTTGCAGATTGTATGTTTGTTAAATTTTTATTCTCATTACTGGCGATTGTTGTTGTTATTGTTGATAATTTTGATTTTGATAAATTTAGTTTTGTATTATTTGGACGTATATTTGATGATGTTGATGAATTATTAATGAATTGTTGATTCGTTGTCGTTGATCGTCTATTTGGCCTATGATTAACATGAAGATTTTGTCTGGAATTTCTTCGAACATAATCATCATTATCATCAATATGATGATGATTATGATCATCAATAATTATCATAGATTTTGTTGATGATGATTTTCGATGATGATGTTGTTGTTGTTGTGATTGCCTTTGTTCATTATAATGAACACCGGCATTATTATTATTATTATTATTATTATGTGCTGTCATTTTTCGTTTACGTTGTTGTTTTGATTTTGATTTAGATCGAAATTTTTCATTCAACAAATGACAATTCGATGTTGACAGTTCATCGAAATGATTCTTTAATAATTTTTTTATTGTTTTCAATTGATTTGTATCATAATTATGATGATTCACTAATTCAGTTGCGAAAATTTTCTGATGATCGTTGTTGTTATTATTGGAATATTTTTTTATTTCCGTATTTTGATTCTGTTGTTGTTGTTGTTTAACGAATGTCGCTGCTGTATGATGATCATTGATCTTACTATTCTCACCACTACTTATTTTATCATCATCAATGTGAGAAACTAAATTACTCAATGTGCTGCTGCTCGTATGTTGTTGTTTGAAATAATTCTTGCTGTTGGTGCTGGTGCAGCTGCGGCTTTCGTTGTTGTTGTTATTATTGGTGCTGCTATTGCAGCTATTTCGGGTTTTTGTTTCTAAATTACCAATTGTGATAGTGGTGGTGTTGGTGGTGGTGGCAGCAGTAATAGCATCAATATCAACGACGGTATTATTATTATTATTTAACAAAATGTTTTTTTCCAAATTAAAAATGTGTGGATTATTTAATGATAATGATTTTGGATCATCATCATCACCAGGACAAAAATTCTTTTGATATTGATGAGGATTCTTATTATCATTAATGGTTGAATAATGACAGCTAGTTGATGTTGATTTTGTTGATGTTGATGATGATGATAAATGATTATCACTATCAATGTTTGTTTGATAAAGATTATTCAATAATATCGATGATGATGATGATGATGATGATTGTTGTTTGGTATTCAAAGGAATAATATTTGTTGTCGTAGTTGTAGTAGTTGTTGTGAGTGGTTCAAGAATTGTAGTAGTGGTAATATTTGATGATGATGATGATAGGATCTTACCATTATCATTACAGGTATGATAATGATGTTTAGAGAAATCAATTTTTTCTTGTTCTTGTTGTCCAACGATATTACCAAATGATGATGATGATGATGATGATAGGATTTTATCATTATTATTATCATCATCTAAAATATATTTTGTTAATCGGCCAAAATTTTCTGGATGATGATAATGATAATGATGGCGTTGAGAATCAATGTCGTTTGACGCAATCGCAATCCAATTCGGTGTTGATGTTGATGTTGATGCTGTTTCCGTATAGGTAGCCATTATTATTACATAATAAATTTGAAATTTTCATTTTCTTCAATTGATAATGTTGTTGATGATGATGTGATTCGACTCAATTCCTGTCTGGAGTTTTGGAGAAAAAAAAACGAAATTTCTATTTTTAGGTTTTTCCTGGTTTTCACCATCGACAACTGCTACGACAAATCGTTGGTCAAAATCTATATATTTGATAATTGAATGAAATGATGCAGGGTTATTCCTGAATAAGTTTTTTGTTGAATGTTTTTTTGGATGTAATCAAAAAAAAACAAACTAGGAATTTCCGGGTAAACAAATATAGATGCTGATGCTGATGAAACACGTGATTAACAATGTTTGCAATTTTTCTGTTTGTTTTGCAAATGTTGCACACAAAATCCAAAAAATTGATGCGGCAGAGCACTCTATCTTCATTTATTTATGTCTGAAATGAAATGTTTGAAAAATGATACCGTTTTCGTTTTTGGCTGACACAAATATAAACACAGACTAAAATCATTTTATTTCATAATATGATTATGTCAAGGTTATTTTTTTATATTCTCGCGGTCGAAAACAAAATAGAAAAATCCCAAAGACCAACCCAAAATCATTATCAATTGAAAATGTTCGAAATGGAAAAATTCGTTCGATCGAATGAATTGAAAAAAATGTGATGATGAGGGGTATATGAGAGGTAGGGGTATTAAACATCCGGTCATGTACCGCCCATCTCTGTTTTTCTGTTTTGTTCATTTCGAAGTTACAAAAAAAAATGGGCGGTCGATAATTTCACTTACGTTTTATTTGATTCGATCAAAAAAATTTGGTAAACTCGTTTTTTTTGCACGTAGCCGAAAAGAAAAAACGTGTGTGTTTTGTGTGTGTGTGTGTGTCATATGACCAAACAAGAATTTAGAATGAACAAAAAAAAAATTGTCTTCCTTGAAATTGCATAAAATCATTTGAAATCTCTCCATATTTTTAGTAGTATAAAAAGAGGAGAAATGGCCTTCAAAATGTCGAAAAAGGTTGATGAGAAACAAAAAAAAAGGTCGAATGTCATGGCCAAAATGATTTTCTTTTTTCTAAATAGAAAATTTCAATGTCAAATTCTTATGTAATGATTCATTTCATTCATTCATTCATTCAATATATATAGGAATCATTATCACATGATGATGTTACCCTCTCTCCATTCTCACCCACACACACAAACACAAATCATTGATTTTACCCTCGTTGTCTTTTTGTTTGGTTGGTTTTTAAACCAAAAAACAAAAAAAAACTAAACAAACATTTTGTTGTCAAGGACACGGACACGCACACAAACACTTACTTATGATATATTCTAGAAATTTCTAGATCATCATATGACCACACCAGAAAAATTGAATTCATTAATTTAATAATTCGGTATACCCATCAATCTGTATGTCCTTGATATTTTGATCAATTTTCAAGTTTTACGATGGCGGAAATTTGTCGAAAAATAAATAATGAATATTTTATCTATTTTGATAAGATGAGCCTACTATTAGTGTAAATAGTTTGACAACAGTGTTGTTAATTAAAATCAATTTTAATTATCGATAATTTTTTTTATTCATTAAATTTTTATCAATCAATCATTTTGAATAATGAAAATACAATTTTGACTACAAAATTTTCTTTTGCCTATTTTTGTTGTTGTTTTGTTTCCAATCATAGACAATTCTTCTGTTTTTTTAGACGGCAACTTTTGTAATAATCAGATAATATTCATATGATAACAATGAAAACAACATAAAAGCATAAAGTGAAACAACAATTTTATCCTTGGTTCCTTCACGCAAATAGATTGGAATATGTGGATTCATCTGAAAAGGAAGAAAAAAAATCAAAATTTAAATCATTTTTTTGTGGAATTTTTGGTTAGAATTACCTGATACCAGATACGTTTCTTTTGAATATTTTTATATTGATCCAATTCATACAATGGATTTGTTGGATCTGGACATGGTGGTAATGCTGAATCGGGTATCTCTTTCCAGGATTTCCAACCATGTGGATTTGGTTTTGCTGCCGGTGCAGCCGATAATGCACGCATTGCTGTATACTAAGATAATATCGGGAATAGTAATTGAAATTCTTTTTTTATTTGATTCTTTTCACTTACCTTGAACAATGTTGGATTCATCATCATTGCTCGTCGAACGTAAACAGTACGAAGTAAATTAGCCATCCTTTTTGTTTGATTGATAATTTAAATTATACTTCGAGGTTTTTGAGGAAAAAAAACGTAACGATCAGAACAAAATAATCGAATATCAAACACACACACACACATAAAAAGACAATAACAACTCGGTCAAACTCACAGACCAAAAAAAATGGTAATGTTCATATAGGACGAACGCGTATGTCACGTGTGTTTTTTTTTATAAAAAGAAATCATGGAAAAATTAAACGATAATCAAGATGGAGATATTATCATTGAAAAAGGTAGAATGATTAATGTCGATATTTTTTTCAGTGATGAGCTATGATTAGATTTGATTTCTTTTTTTTTCTATTCGATTAACAGGTGTAGCACCGATACGAAAAGAATTTCTGATCGAACGTTGTCCAACAATTAATGTTGTTGACAAGAAAAATGATGGATTCATCAGCGGCGTTGAAAATGATGATAATTCAGAAAATAAACGTAAAATTAGCAATGATAATGGATCGGAAAATCATGGTGATAATGATGATGATGAAAATACAAATGAAAAAAGGAAAAAAAAGATGCGTGGCCAAAATAAACAACGTCGTGGACAAATGCATAAAGCTGTTAAACAATTAGGTGAAACACGTAATCATCGTATTTGTCGTGCTTATTTTCGTGAAAATAAATGTCCATTTGGTGATAAATGTACATTTTCACATGATATTGATGCATATCTAAAGGAAAATCCTGATCGTAATGATATCGGTGACCATTGTCCGAATTTCGAACGATACGGTAAATGTAATGCCGGTATATTCTGTCGTTATGGTAGTGGCCATCTACGTGATGGCCATTTCAATGTTATTGATGAAGAAAAATATGAACGAATTAGTCGTGAAGATCGAACCATGAATTATTTATCCAAAGATGTACAATTTCAATTGCGAAAACGAAAATATGATTTTAGCGAAGCTAACCGATTTAGTCAACAAATTTGTTCGGTTGATAATATTCGTCTGACAGAATTGAAAAAAGAACCAAGACCGAAACCATTAAAACGAACGATTGATTTTCGCGGAAAACTTTATCTGGCACCATTAACTACCGTTGGAAATCTACCGTTTCGTCGTATTTGTAAAGAATTTGGTGCCGATATAACATGTGGTGAGATGGCCGTTTGTTCATCATTGTTAGAAGGTTCCAGTTCCGAATGGGCATTGATTCGTCGTCATTCTACTGAAGATATATTCGGTGTACAGCTTTGTGGTTCAGGTCCAGATCAATTAGCACGTTGTGCACAAATTATTTCCAATGAATGTGATGTTGATTTTATCGATCTAAATATGGGTTGTCCAATCGATCTAGTTTATCGTAAAGGTGCCGGTTGTGCATTAATGGAACGACGACGTAAATTGGATAATATTATCTACAGTAAGTTTTTTGTTTTCAAAATGAATTTTTTTTAAAATGAAAATTTCATTTATTTCCAGGTGTAACATCGGTAACAAACATACCGTTTACATTGAAAATGCGTACAGGTGTACATAATGGAAAAAATATAGCCAAAAATCTAATCAATTCATTACGTGAATGGCCACGTGATCGTTTAGCAATGATCGCTATACATGGACGTTCACGTGAACAACGTTATACAAAATCGGCTGATTGGTCTTATATTGGTGAATGTGCTGTTGATGCACATCAATCATCTATCAATAATAATGATGATAATAATGATTATAAACCATTACCAATATTTGGATCAGGTGATATAATTTCATATGAAGATTATTATGAAAAATTGGAAAAATATAATGTTGATGGTATAATGATTGGACGTGGTGCATTAATTAAACCATGGATATTTACTGAAATTAAAGAAAAACGTGTATGGGATATTCGATCATCCGAACGTATGGATATTCTACGTCGTTATGTTAATTATGGCCTATCGAATTGGGGTTCCGATCGTGAAGGTGTTGAAAAAACACGTTGGTTTTTACTTGAATGGTTATCATTTTTACATCGTTATATACCTGTTGGACTGTTGGAACGATTACCACAACAAATTAATGATCGACCACCACGTTATCGTGGTCGTGATGATCTTGAAACATTAATGTCATCATCATTATGTAGAGATTGGATTTCTATTTCCGAAATGTTATTAGGTCCAGTTGATGATGGTTTTCAATTTATACCAAAACATAAAGCATCATCTTATTGAAAAAAATTTTATTTTTATTAATTTTTCTAAATTAATTAATTAATTAACAACTTTTTTGTTTTGTTTTTTGGACTAAAAATTTTTTTTTTTTTTGGTTCAATTCATTTATTGATCAACAAAAGCTGGCAAACCAAATTGTTCGGGTCGAAAATCCAATAATGAATTCAATAAAAGTGATGGTTCACAGGAATTTTTTGGTAAACGTGGATCTGGTACCCAAACCGATTGCATACCGGCTGCATTTGCAGCCTGAATTCCAGCAACCGAATCTTCAAATACCAAAACATTGGACATTTTTTCCATTGGTGGTGGTGGTTCAAATCGCCGTGCACAAACCAAAAATGTTTGCGGATCTGGTTTACCACGAACAATTTCCGGATCATTCGATGCAACTACAATATGATGAAATAATTTAAATAATTCCTGATGATGTTTAGTTTTTAAATCGAATGCAAATTGTTTTGAACTTGTTGCTATTGCAATAGGAATTCCATGTTGATATAAATGACGAATCAAACGTTCAGCACCTGGCATTAATGGAACATAATCGGAAAAAACTTTTCGATATTCTTCATCAACTTGTTGTGTATATTCATCAACAGTTAATGGTAATTGAAGTTCATTGATAATAATCTGTGCTCCTTCCGGATTAATACGACCCATAATTTTCACTATTCAAATTTGTTTGGTTTGATGATAATGATTTTATGGATTTTCGTTTTTTTTTATTAAAAACTTACTTTTAACTTCAAATGGATAATCACGACCATACCGTTGTGTAACCGAATTGATTGCCTTTTCATACATTGTTTCTGTATCTGTATATTTTATTCAAATTAATTTAATTTGTCAGTGAGGGAAAAAATTAATTACCCAAAATCAAACCATCCATGTCAAAGATAACATGAGTTATGATTTTCTGTGGTTGCAACGGTTTTGATGATGATGATGACATGATGTCAGAATGTCAAATTACAAAACAATAGAAAAAAAAAGAAAATAAAGATTCCCAACAACAACAGAAAAATTTAATCAAATCTGATCAAATGATTTAAATAAAATGTTTAAAACAGTAAATAATTTTTGGTTTTCAATTCCATTCGAAAAATCAAATTCAATTTAGTTTCCAAATACGATTAAATCTTCCTTCTTTTTTTTCCGATGATGATGATCATTTATCACAAAACACACATGGGCGCCATTAATGAACAATGTTACCGGAATGAATTTTGAAAAAAAATCCTGATGTAATCCTTGTTTGATATTTTGAAATTTCTTTTTTTTCATTTAGGATTTTATTTTGTCAATGTTTGGTTTGCATCATCAGTATTAATATCATTTAAACCTAATTCTTCATTTTGTTCCCAGCTACGTTCATAATGTTCAACATTATTAGCCTGTTCAACAAAACTATTTCCACATGGATCATCCAATATAATTGTTAAACCAATCATATCCGTTAAACGTTGTTTTAATTTTTCAATTTTTTTACGGATTTCATCGCGTGTAGAATCACCATCAATAAATGGATTTGTTCGTTGAAGGTCATCGATTATATTCATACCTAATCCTTGTATAGTTGTATAACGACCTGAACCGGATGAATTTAATGTTAATGATAATTCTGGTATTAAAATATTACATGTATCCGAGCGTACAACTTCTTTTTTTAAATCATCATCATTTTGAATATTTATGGTAATACGTACACCTTTTGATTCGATACCGGCACCAGATTTTACTTCATTCGTACGATTACCACAGATTTCACAATTTGTAGCCATTATTATTATTTCTTTAAAATGTGGAATTTTTGTCAATTTCATATTAGTAAAACAAGGTGCATTACAATTCGGACAATTTGTTGGAAATTGTAAAACTTCATCTTTAAGATCTGTGGAATTTTCCGTTTGAGATGATTCATTAGGATCGATTTCATAGATTCCAAGTAATTTATCTTCATCGATTGTACGAATAAAATTTGTTACTTTCAATTGTGGATCTGATTGTGGTGCAAGGAAATTTTCAATAAAACTATTACCACTTATATCTTCAATAATTAGTGTAAATGTTTCCGATCCATTTTGTAGACGGCGCATTTTTTCAATAAAATCAATCATAGCTTTTTGTTGTTGATCATCATTATTGAATTGTTCATTATTTTGTAAAGAATATTCTAACCCAGTAATGGTTCGTTGTAGAATACCTTCAACAGTTGTAATCATACTATTTTGTTGTTTAATTTCAAAATCTAATTCTGGAATTTTCACATGAGCCCATTCAGTTTTTATCAATTGTCGGCTAAGATCTTTAACGTTCGATACAGTCAATTCATAACGTATACCTTTTTCAGCAATTTTATTGGCCGGTTGAAGTTCATTATTACGAAAATTACAATATGAACATTCAAATGACATGACAACAACTTGACGAAAAAATGGAATATCTGTTAACAACATACGAGTTGTACCATCTTTACCACAATTGACACAATAGCAATTTTCAATTTCAGTCATATCATCATTTGGATCTTCGGCTACTTCACGTAAATCGGCAAATAATTTTTCGGACATTTTCGGTTTCTTAATTTCTTTGCAATATCAAAAAACTTGTAAAGAATAAGAATTTTCTCGAAACAAAACTTTTGATTTGAAAATCAGCATGCGTCACCATAAACATCATCATCATCATCACTAATCGATTGTGATGAACGAATTTCGATATTATTCAAATATTTCAAATATTCCAATATTTCGCGCGTCATAATCATGATTCATTTTTAAAAAATTTAAAAAAATAATAATTTCTATACAAAATTGCAATCACAAATTAAAAATTCTGTAAAAATTTTTCCTTCCTATTCATGAACAGCAGGTGGTTTAGTAGCCAAACATTGATTTCCATATAAACAACACATACAATCATCATGTGATCCTGTGAACAACAACATAAAAATTAATTTAAACATCATGATTATCTATGAAAAAGATTAATAAAATGAAGAAGAATGCAATCAATAAAAAAACAGAATGAATGAATGAATGAATGAAAATGATGAAAACAACCAACAACATCAGATTAAATTAATTAATCCATTGATTAAATGAGAATGACACAGAATGATAATGATGCGCAAATCGAATTCTTTTCTTTCTTTTTTATTATTATTCGAATAACGCATTGTGAATTTTCATCATTATTATCATGTCATGGCCCTCAGTACTTCACTTTTTTTGATCTTGATTTTGACATTTTTTCAATTTCATTTCATGGCCATTTCGAAATTTTCTTTAGAAATTTCATCAATGTTGTAGAGTTGAATAAGATGTGTTTCTATTGCTGCTATATCAACGATTATCTTGATGATATCTCTTTTTGGTTTCTTATGATTATAATTACCATGTCTGAAATGTTTTGTTTTGTTTTTTTTGATGCTGATATTGTCGATTGTAAATGAATGGATAAAATTGACAGGCAAAAAAAACAATGATTATAGTCACGATGGACGATGATGATTTTGATGATTATTATGATTTTTGATGATTTTGGATAATGCTCTAAATTCAAAAAAATGAAATAGAGAAAAAAATGATTTTTTTTTTGAAATTATTCAATGATGAAATCATTATAATGATGTTTTGATTTTTGTTTTTGAATTAAATTTTTGTTTTGTGTCTTTAAAAAAAATTCGAGATCAATAACCGCCACAAAAAAAGGATTATTTTTCTTATTTACTGACCAAAAAACAAATTACAGGACATTCAAAAAAATAATCTTGTCATTCAGGTTTTTTTTGGTATGCGGAAAAAACTGTTTTTCTTCCTTCTGCTATTCAACCCTATACTCACCAAAAAACAAGTTCATCATTTGGATTTTTTTTCGGTATTTCTTCATGATCAAAAAACAAAATTTTGTTTTTGTTTTTTTGTTTTGTTGAAAAATTAAAAATTCAAGATTTTTATCACTTTGGTTTTGACGTCAATTCGCTGATGATGATGATGAGAAAAAAAATGTCTGAATTTTTTGAATTTATTAGTTTTTTTTCTTTTTCTAGAATCAAAAAATTTTCTCTTCTTTCTTTCTTTGATCAATTTATTCATTTATATTTTGATTTGATTTGATCATTCGACATCATGAAAACAATGATTGTTTGATAGTTCGATGAGATCCAATAAATAATAATAATAATAAAAAGAAAAAGTTCAACGACAAGAGCAAAGCAAAAAAACGTAAAAGAAAAATTGTTATCGATCGATTGAGGTCTCGTTCCATCCATTCATTCATCCATCCATAATGAACAATTGTGATGCAAATGAATTCAAGTTCCAAAATAATAATGACGATGATGATGGTGTGAATTTTTCTTTTTTATTACTTTAAAATAACAAGCGATTCATGCCACGCCAATATTGATGTCGATGTTTTGATGGTTGATGATTATTGAGAAAAATTTCGTTCGTTGTTCCAAACAAAAAAAAACAGGTAAACAAAAGAAATTTTTTTCTTGTTGTTTTTTTTTGTGATCAACATCAAGTGGTAAATGATGATCATCAATGATTATTGAAAAAGATCATGATCAAATGTTATTATCATTATCGTTTGTTTTATGTTTGTCTGTTTGATGGTCACACATAAATCGAATGTTTTTTGCTTGTTTGTTTGTTTGTTGTCGATATCGATATATCGAACAATCGAACCGGAACAGATGTTCCTGTTTCGTTCGAAAAAAAATTATCAAAATCATCAAAAATGAAAACAACCAAAAACAAAAAAACGAAAGCAATTTTGTTATCAAATTAGAAAGAAAAAAAGGTAAGGTAAGGTAAGGTAAAAGATCTTTTTGATTCTTTGATAACTTTTTTTTGTTGTTGTTTCTCCCTCGTAAATTCCATTCGATTCGTTTTGTTTATCAATCATATTCATCAATCTATTTATGTTATGCGATGATCATTTCGATAATGATAATGATGATGACGACGACGACGATTACGACCATCCCAATCATTTATTATCATCAACATTTAGTTTTTTCTTTCTTTTACAATCTTATTTTGGCCTATGTTCAACAACATCGACATTCTCTTTTATCGAATCAACTTCAGTTTGTTTCAACAACAAGTAGCAACAACAACATCGACGACGACGACGACGATGAAATACTTTATTTGAATCGAGATTTTTTCGTTTTGTTTGTTTGCAAACAATTTTTTTCTTTTTGTTCAAGTATGGATCGAAATAAGAAAAACTTTTTTTTTATTTACAAAACTGATGGACATTGAAGAAATTGAGAAAATTGTGAAATAGATTTTTTTTGCCAAAAATGTTTCATCAAAAATCAAAAAGTTAAAAATTTCAACAACAACAATAATTCTTGAAAAATTTCTTGGATTTCCAATCGTGAATATTTCATTCAACAATTCAACAAAACATCATTCGAATTATGCTTTTTTTGGTCAACAAAAGTTTGTAGATGATAATAATGATGATGATTAATTGATGATAATTTTCATCTCATCCATTCATTCATCAATCAATAATATTTACATCGAATGAAAAATTTGTTGTTTTTGTTTTTCCTGCTTGCCCAAAACAAAAACAACAACAACAATCGAAATCAAATGATTCTATCTTAACATCGGACATTCAACAAAAAAAAACAAAACGAAACCCCTCTCTTGTTTTTCTTTGAATTGAACGTCATTATCACCATCGCTAATCACAAAAAAAAAATATAATTATCATCATTAAAAACAAAATTATTTTTTTGAAAATTATACGACAACGAATGAAATTATTACATACTTGAACACATACTTTTCTTCCTTATTCTCAATTCAAACAAAGTGGCAATCAAAATTTGTGTTGATAATAATCAATCAAACAACAATCCAGGTAATCATTCATTTTTTTTTTTTATCTGGTAAAACAAGCAAGCAAGTGTGCAAGAACAAAATTCATTTTGATCGTCGTCATCTTCAAGCATATTATGTGATTTTTGTTTCAAATGAAAAAAAATTAATTAATTAAACAACAAATCTTCATGATTGAAACAAAATTGTCCTCATTGCATCAAACATTGTTGACATTGGAATGTGTGTGTGTGTGTTTGGAAAAAAACCAATCCCCAAAATAACCACTATTTTGATCATATTTATTAATTTTTTGGGTCAAAACCACATTGGATCAACAAGTACCCAAATTTTTTATTATGTTTTTTCCGCCATATATTTTTTTTGTGTGTGCCAAAAACAAACAAACAAACCAAAAACCTGTATAATTGACTGATAATTGTTACATACCTATCATATAAAAATATCATGTAAAAAAATTATCGTCCCAAAACTAAAATTTGGTTTTTTTTAAATTTGTTTCGATAAAAAAATATTTTTAAAACATCATAATGTCATCATTATTATCATCATTATCGTCATCATCAAAAATGATGATGATGATTATATTACAAATGATTCTAGTTTCAAATGATCTCATCATTGTTATGGCTATGATGAATACAACAACAACAACGACAGCAATAACATCGACAACAGCAAACGAATTGGATAATCATAGCAATAATAACGGTCATGGTATGTTGGATTTTATCTTTGGTTGTTTTTTGTTTTGTTTAATTTTAATTAAATTAATAGAAATTATTATTGTTAATGATGATGATAATAATATAACATCGATAACGAATCGTTCAAATACATTTTATTCATTGGATGATCTATCCGAAAGATCATCATCAAATGATAATGATAATAATCTTACCATTATCGATAATAATGATGATGATACTGCTGTTGATGATTTCTGGGATGCCCCAAGTACACATCCCCACATACCATCATCATCAACATCAACAACAACAACAACAACCGGCCCAAATAATAACCATAATTTCTCAAATAGTCCATCAACAACATCAATCACAGCAGCAAGTACAATGTCGTCAACACGTTCAACAACACCATTTTTACCACCAATGCCATCTATATTAACATGGTCATCATCACCATCATCATCATCATCAACAACAGCATCAGCATCAACATTATCATCATCAACATTACCACCACCATTTACAAACATACAACGTATATCACCATTTACTAGCAAACCATTCAGTTCCGGTAATGAATCAACAAATCGACAAAATTCAAATGAAAATAATAATAATAATAATGATCCACCATCATTCAATCAATTAATATCAAAAATATGGAAAATTATTTTACATGGAACAAATATGAATTCTGAAGAATTAAGAATGTGTAATCGTACATTGATTGAACAACATTTTAAACCATCAAGTCGTCGTAAAGTTGCTCGAAATATGAAAAAAGATTTGGAAAAAATTTTTAATAAATGGAATTATCGTTTTAGTATAATTGTTAGTTCAACATCCAGAAATACTATGGGCAAATCGTTACACGGTGTTTGGATGTCTATATCGATTAATGGTGTACATTATTTTATAACGGCAACACATAAAATTATTGATGGACCAAAAATTAAGGAAGAACAAATGGAAAAAATTGAATATTGGGCACATGTACATGCTTTAGCTGTACGTAATATGACCGGTTTTCGTCGCTATAATCGTATTGCACAGAAATTAAAATTTGATTTAGATCGATTTTTGGGTCATGGTAATTCATGGTCGGTGATTATTGTTAAAAATCCATTATTGGTAAAAGCAAAAATATTTGAAGATCCAGAATATCATATAGAATTTTCACGTTTAAATGGTGGTCATTTTATTATATTTCGTGGTGGACAAACAATCGATGTTGATGGTCGTCGTAATGGTCGTATTGATGATGATCAAACAAATCATTTTGTCGATGAACCAGAATCTGATGATCATACATTAGAAACAGAAACTGAACATGAAGATTATCGTAATAATATCTATCTTATGATGACATAATCATTGTATGATCTGCTATTTTCTCAACAGGAAAAAAACAAACAAAAATTTTGTAACATATCTTTTTTCAAGGCAATATTTTTAATGTCTAAATATATCATTACATAAACATTTTTAACATGATTTTCTTTTGAAATTTTTTTTTCTTCAAATATTTTAGGATTCGAGAGAAAAATTTTCTCTTACACATTTTTTTTTTGTTTTGTTCATTCATTATCATTATAAGCTTATCAGTATAGTTTTTTTTTTGTAATTTTGTTGTTGTTGTTGTAATCACACTCAATTACAATTTGTAATTGATTTTTTCGTGTTTATTTTGTATTAAAAAAAATAAAAATGATTTTTTTAAAATGAATCGATTGCTCCAATCGATGCTATCGATAATTTCGTCCGAAAGATATATCCTCTTTTTAATTTTGCATTAATTTGGATTTTTTTTTTATTATTTTCGCAATTTGTTTCATCTTTGAAATTTTGATTCAATTAATATCCATACTTTAAAGATCAAAAGATAATTATAATAAGAGTTGTATTTATAATTTTTTCCAACAAAAAAGTAAAGATGATGATGTTGATGATTATTTTCAAGGTTAATCATTATCAACGTTTATTTGTCATATAGGATTCACTTTCAAAAAAACAAAACAAAACAAAACACAGAATGCGAATTGAAAGATTTTTTTCAAAAGAAAAAAAAAGAATTATCCATCTGTAAACTTCGCCATCTAGTGTTGGATAATCATAGAAAAATCTACTCTGTTATTATTTGCTATGACAATGACTTTGATGATAATGGATTCAAGGCCATCATCACGTCATCAATTCTTATAAAGAATTTTTTATTATTCTGCTCGATTATCTAGCATGGAAATTAATTGATTATTTAAAAAAAAAATCGGGTATGTTTAATGAAAAAACAATATATTTTCTTCATCATGTTTCGATGTTGTTTTTTCCAAAATTTAATTTTGACAAACTTTGTTTCCTGATTGTTTTGTTTTGTTTTGTTTTTCGTTGTAAATAATTTAATTTCCTTTTGGTTTTTATGCCAAGCATTTGGAAAAATTGTCATCATTTTGATTTGGATTTTAGTACAACAACGTTAAATATTGGCAAAAATGAAAATCGATTCGAAATGCAATTTATCGAATATCAATCATGTGGAATTGGTTGTATTTGATTTTGATGAAACACTTATCAATTGTAATACCGATGATATTAAAATGCTTGCCCCGGATGGTCGTTTTCCAGAAGGATTCTGGTGCAAAAATCATATTTGGCCCGATTATATGCAACATGTATTCGAATTTCTTCATAAAAATGGCATTCGTCGTGATGATTATTGTCGATGTTTTCGTACAATGAAATTTGTACCCGGTATGATTGATTTGATTCAAAATCTTCATAAAGGTTTACCTTCCAAAGGTAAACAATTTGAAATGATTATCATATCGGATGCAAATTCATTTTCAATCACTGAAATTCTTGAACAAAACAATTTAATCAATTGTTTCAGGTATGTTTTTCTTTACTTATTTTTAATATTTATCCTATCTATCTAAATATATAAAAATCTTATCGTTATTGATGATAGGAAAATATTTACCAATCCTGCAAAATTCGATCAAGATGGTTGTTTACGTATTCAGTATTATCATGAACAGAATGATTGTTCATTATCACCAAAAAATCTTTGTAAAGGACTTGTACTTAATGATTATATTCAACAACGTACCAACAATGATAATGTACATTTTCATCGAATTCATTATATTGGTGATGGTTCAAATGATCTATGTCCATCATTACGATTATCATCGAATGATTTTGTTTATCCACGTTCTGGTTATAAATTGGATGAATTGATACAGGCAAAAGTTCACGAACTACAAGCTCGTTCTATTCCATTTACTAATGGTAATGATATTTGGAATAATATCATTTCCAATTGAAAAAAATTCATTATGATTAATTAGTAATTTAATTAAGTTTTTCAAATTAGGAACAAAAAAAAATGTTTGAATTTTATTTTTTTAAATCGAAATTTTAAATTTGTTTATCACCAAAAAATTAATGTTTTTGTTTGTTTGTTTGTTAATCAATTAAAGTGATGATATAATGATATTTAATTTACAATTGTAAATTTTCTGGCACAGTATTACCCGAACTGGTTACAACTTTTAACAATTTTTTATGTGCATATTGATTTTCAAAAAGTCGATCGGTAATAAATGTAAATGATAAACCTTTTGCACCATTACGACCACAACGACCAATACGATGAACATAGGTTTCAACATCGACAGGAAAATCATAATTGACCACAACATGAATATCTTTGATATCTAAACCACGAGATGCAACATCCGTAGCAAATATAACCATTGAACGGCCACGATTAAAATCCTGGATAAGACGTTCACGGCGATCCTGTGAAACATCACCATGAATGTAATCACATTTACAGATATTCATATCATTAAAATCATCGCACACTGATTGTGCACGTAATTTAGTTGCAGTAAATACGAGAATTTTGAAACCATCAAATTCACGAAAGATTTCTTCCAATAGTTTTTTCTTATCATATTCCCGGCAAAGAAATAGATGTTGCTTGATATCAATACAAGCTTTTAAACCATACAATGGACCAATTGAAACTAATGAACGATTCGGATTTAATAATGGATCGGCCAATTCTTGTACTTTTTCTATCCATGTTGCCGAAAACAATAAGGTTTGTCGTTTAGGAATGGGGGGACAAAGATCGATAATTTTTTTGATTTGTGGATAAAAACCCATATCAAACATACGATCAGCTTCATCCAAAACTATAAAAGGAATTCGATAAGAAAATTATCATTATTATATAGCAAAATGGTTTTTCTTACCAAAATAATTGCATTTTGACAAATGTATAGAACCAGTTTCGAGAAAATCATTGATTCGACCAGGTGTACCAACAATAATCGGCGGTTTTTTCGATCGCAATTCAGAGTATTGCGTCATACGTGATGCACCACCATAAACACAGATAGATTTGAATAAACCAATCGATTCGATCACTTCATTAGTTTGGATGGCTAATTCACGTGTCGGTGAAACGACCATTACTCTTGGATAACAACCAGCGGATTTAGTTTCGATATCGTCATCTTCCATCATAAAAATTAAGGCTGGTATTACAAATGCTAATGTTTTGCCCGATCCAGTTTCGGCTTTGCCTGTTTAATCATATACGAATTATAATCACAAAGTTTGAAAAAAAAACAATGAAAAAAGTTTTTCATACCAACAAAATCCCGTTTGTCTAAAATGATCGGTATGGCTACCGATTGTATTGGTTTTGCTTTTCGATAATTTAATTCGGCCAATTTTTTTGCCAATTTTGACGGTATACGTTTATCCATTTGATAATCAATGACTGGATCCATAAAATCATCAGGATTTTCAAAAACAAGACCATGTTCACGACAAAAACTTTCCATTTTTTTTTCAAATTTGTTAATTCGCAATTGAAAATTGAGCTTTGTTAAACAAACGATGATGATGATGATGATGAATATATGTCGAAAACGGAAAACGCACACCACTCATACGCTTATTTTAGAACATTCGATTTGAATGCCATCTATCGAAAAACATAAATTTCCAATAAACTTTCCCATTTTCCAATATCCGATCATTGATTTTTTGATGAGGAAATTTTCCTTCGATGAAAACAACCTTGAAAAACACATAACCGAATTTTTGCCCCGTTTTTTATTTCCCGAAATTTAGTTATAAAAATTCTTTTTTTTTTTCTTTTCAGAAAATTTGAAAGAAAGAAAGAAAGACACATCGTCGAGATGTTGCTTATCTTATCAACAAAACGATAAATTTCGAATATATAATGAATTTTTTTTCTCGTTCCATTTTTTTTTTTGGAATGTAAATTCATAACGTTATCATCATCATCATCATTGAATTCTACATCGTGGACAACAACTATTCAACCATCATATTGATTTGATAGATCATTATTTTTTGTTTGAACTTTTTCCCATATTTCACATCGTCGTCATTGTATATTTGATGATAAAATTTATTTTTGTTCTCTCCCATTTTAAATGAATCAATTATCATGGAGAAATGTGTCAAGAATGAAAGAATTCTTGATAGGAAAAAAAGTCACGTTTGTATTGTATAATCATTGATTTTGTCTTTTTTTTTTGATATTCTTTCTAATTTCACAGAAAATGATTTGGTAAAAAAAGTATAATAATATCGTTATATTAAACTAAAATTCCTATGTTTAGTTGCCTAGGTTTTTATTTTTTGGTTGCCCAAAATGGATGACAATATAATCGATTATTAGTGGCCATCATTATTATTTGATTCACTTTCATCGACCACTTTATTATCACATGATTTTCCTAACGATGGAACGACCGGAACTCAACAAAACGCTTGCGCAAATTTTTTTTCCAATTTGATCATTTTTTTCTTGCCAAGATATAAATGTAACAATCCTAAATCAATTTTCAATCATTCGATCATTTAGTATTCAAATGTGTAAAATAATGAATCAACATCAAAAATATGGCACATTTACGACGAATACATTTTCAAAGTCAAAAATGTTGTTCATCAATATCGGCTGCTAGTATGCCCGATTTTAGTGATAATTATTTTGAAGAACTTAAGGTGAAATGTTTTTTTTTTGTTGTTGTAAATTCAGATTTTTAAAATTTTATTTTATTCTTCTTTCTAACGTTTCCTCAGAAAAAGATTCGTTTAATTCGTGATGATGTTATAAATAACAAACAAAATGGCGATAAACAATTTGATAAAAATCAACAACAACCACAGCAACAACAACAGTCATTATCAGTAACAGATCGACAACAACAACAACAATCATCCGATCATCATAATGCTGTAATATTTTCATTAAAAAATCAAGTTACCGGTCTTGTTCGTGCATTACGAATATTTCAAGAATTTAATATTAATGTTCGCCATATTGAATCAAGAAAATCTAAACGAAAAGATTCACAATATGAAATCTATTTGGATATTGATTGTGATGATAAGGAAAAAATGCAACAATTACTTCATCAACTTAGGTAGTTGAATAATTTTTGTTTTTGTTTTTGTTCTGTAAATTCATTTGTTATTTATTATCCAAAAAAAAAGACATGAAGTAGATTGTTGTACATATGAAGAATTTGAACGTATTTGTAGTTCACCAAAATCAAAAGATTTACCAAAACAATTACCATCGATACTTACATCACAATCATCATTTGATAATGGTGATCTTATTGGTGAAGATGGTATGCCATGGTTTCCAAAACGTATTTCCGATCTTGATTATTCATCTAATCGTGTTTTAATGTATGGTGCTGAATTGGATGCTGATCATCCAGGATTTAAAGATCCAATTTATCGACAACGACGAAAATATTTTACTGATTGTGCAATGAATTATCGTCAGTAAGTTTGTTGTTGTTGTAGAAATTCAAATTTGATCAAAAAACTTTTTTCTAGTGGACAACCAATTCCACGCATAGAATATACAGAAGAAGAAACAAAAACCTGGGGTGTTATCTATACAGAATTACGTAAACTTTACAAACGATATGCATGTCAAGAATTTAATGAAAATCTTGAATTATTGGAACAATATTGTGGTTATCGTGCAAATAATATTCCACAATTGGAAGATATTTCACAATTTCTTAAACGTATGAATTTTATTTTATTTTCTAAATAATTTCTTATATTCTTCATTTTCAAATCGTTTTTTTTTTCTACACCATCACACAGAGCGAACTGGATTTCAACTTCGATGTGTAGCTGGTTATCTTTCGGCAAGAGATTTTCTTGCTGGTTTAGCTTTTCGTTTGTTTTATTGTACACAATATATTCGACATTCCAGTGATCCATTCTATACTCCTGGTAAGTTTTTTTGTTGTTGTTGATCAATTATAATTCAAAGCAACATTGATCATTCATTTGAAAAATGTTTCTCTTTTCAATGTAGAACCGGATTGTTGTCATGAATTATTGGGACATTGTCCATTATTAGCTGATCCAAGTTTTGCACAATTTTCACAAGAAATTGGTCTTGCTTCATTGGGTGCCAAAGATGAAGAAGTGGATAAATTAGCAACCTGTTATTTTTTCACTATTGAATTTGGTCTTTGTAAACAACAGAATGAATTAAAAGTTTTTGGTGCTGGTCTATTATCATCGGTTGCTGAATTAAAACATGCTGTATCTGGTTCAGCACATATTATTCCATTCGATCCGATTATTACCTGTCAACAAGAACCAATGATAACAACATTTCAAAAAATGTATTTCTATACAGATTCATTTACAGATGCAAAAGAATTGATGAGAGAATTTGCTAAAACAATAAAACGTCCATTTGGTGTACGTTATAATCCATATACACAATCGGTTGAAATATTAAGTAATACGAAAAAAATATTGAATTTAGTTAGTGAATTAAAAGGTGATCTTTGTATTGTTACCAATGCATTGGCTAAAATTCGTGAAGATAATGAAAATGGTAATAATCAAGATCCGATTGATTTAATGAATAATGAAAATCATCTTGGAACAATAACGACAATGACAACAAGTGAAGCTGATGAACGTCGTAATAGTCAGGCTAATTTAGATCAAATGATTAATGATATGAATAATATACAGGTATCATGTCAAAATCATGAACAACAACAGGATCGAAAAAATTAATTTTTTTTTTAATTCATCAAATGTTACGTTATAAATGAAATCAAAAAAAAAAACATAAACACAAATGAAAAAAATATAGATTTGTTTGGTCTTTTAGTTTTTTTTTGAATCTTTATAGATTGTTTTTCCATTTGTTGTTTTTATAGAATAGAATGCATAATATTAATTTAAAAATGATGATAATGATAATTTGAAAATGATAAATTAATTATGAAAAAAAGAATTTTTTTTTCTGGAATGCCATCTAATAGGAAATTAGTGGAAATATTGTGAAGATTTTGTTTTCGTCGCTGTTGTTGTTGTTGATTTTGGTTTGTGTGTTTTCTTTTATGAACAACCACAACGTTCAACAACCATATTTGGTAATATTCCATAGATAACATTTAAATCACTATCCAGATAAAGCATTGATATTGATGACATTTTACGTGGTGAACAACAAGGACCAATTGCATTCAAATTAATTTGTTGTATTAAATGTGTATGTGGATATTGATTCATTAAAACAAATGGACATTCACCACTACAATAATTTGCTTGATAACGTTTTGGTGCTATAATCCAATCCCAACCAAATTGTTCAAAATCAACTGTTAATGGATAACGACAACATCTTATTTCAGATGATTTATCTTCACAATTTAAACCAATTGTACGTTTACGACGTAATGATGATTGTAATGGATTTTTACGATCAACACTAATTTCCATAAATGGTCTCTGTATTGATTTAAATTCAAATTCATATTTTAATTAAAAAATTTTATTGATTAAAAGAAAATAATAATATTTACCAATGGTGAATCTTGTTCAACATCATCACTATGTATAACATTTAATTGTTGTCCATTATTATCGAATGCATGTATAACAATACCAAAATTTGTATCCGGATTTTCAAACCATTTTGTTAATAATTTTTCCATACGTAAATGTATCCAACCACCTTTACGTGTTGTACTGTTTGATATACGTTTGGATTTTATCTAGCGAATGATAATAATATCATTGAAAGAAAAGGTTATTCAATTTTTTTGAAAAAAATTCATTGATTTTAAAATTAGAATTGAAAAATAAAAAAATTACTTACCATTAATAATGGTGTTTGTTTATTACGTACAACCTGATAGATAACAATTCTTGAACTTGTTTTTAATTGTGATGAACCTTTTAAATAAATCCATAAAAATGCTTTCTGTACATGTTGATGATAAATATTTGATGGAAATTTAAAATATTGTGAACGTAATTCTTGATCAACGATACGGTCGAATGGAGCTAATAATAATAAAAAAAATTAATAGAAAAAAAAATATTTAAAAGTTTCAAGTCGATTTTTTTACCAATGTTGTTTAGAGGGGTAAAGAAAAACCTAAGAAATACACACAAACAAAACACGTACCAGAATGATGATGATGATGATGATTGAATGATAAATTACCTTGGATTTTTTTTTTTTTGAATAAAAAAAAACAGTTTTTTTTTGGTGAGAAACTTGATAAAAAAGGTCATTATTTATCGAATGACCTTTTCATCGAAGCACAATCACACAGGTGTCGGTGTGTGATTGTGCTTCGAACTTGACCTGCATCGGGTTTCTTCCAAATCATCATCATCATCATCATCATTGAGAAAATAGAGCAAAAAAGAAATCTTTTTTTGTTGTTGTTGTTGTTGAAAATTATCACATTTCAGTCAAAGATTATTGACCTTTAACTTTTTTTTTCTTGGTTTTCTTAAAAGAAATCCAGAACAGAAAAAAGCTTTAAAACTCTTCAGTGAAAAGAAAAAAAGAAAAGTTCAATGGCTTGATTGATACTAAGTCAGTGTGTCAAAGGTCAACATGTGGATACTATTATTATTATTTGTGGGAAAAAAAATCTACAAAATCAAGATCATTTCATCAGTTGTGTTTGAAGATCTTTGTTTGATTGTTTTGTTTGGTTGTTTGAAAAAAAATAAATTTCAAAATTTTTAAAATTGCCAAAAAAAAGAAAAACTTACGTTTTTGTTGAGCAAAAACAATGGATTTTTCTGCACTAATAAATTCTTGTTCATCTTGATTATCATCATTTTGATGATTAATCGGACCAAAATAATCATTTAGATCAAGAATTTTTGACATAATTTTTGGTGAATCATTTAAATCATTCAACGTTGATGGTGATGATGATTGATCATTCATCATTTGTGATAAATGATTTAACATTGAATTTATTGGTGGTATTTTTGGTAATGATCGTATACTAACATTTGGTGCACGTTCCATATTTAATTTATTTAATATATTTAATTTTATTGATTCAATACGTAATTGTCTTGTTTGTTCATCATTTAAACATGTTGTACAATTACGATTTAATCGTAATATTTTTGATTGTTGTTTATTATTTTTCATCATTGTTGATGCGGATGTTGTAATATTTTCTGTTGATGATAATCCAGAATATATGGATGAATCATCCGATAACATTTGATTATCATCATCATTTTGTTTTGATAATGTTGATCTACGAGATCTATTATGGCTAACAGTTTTTTGTTCTTGTTGTTGTAATTTTGATGATTGTAACGATAAAGAGATCATGGATAAATTTAAAAATTGATTATTAAAATTATTATTACTAAAATTTAAATTATTATTATTATTATTATCATTATTATGAACTAAATCCCAAACGATTGTTAATTTTTTAATAGCATCATTTAAATTTTGTTCAGCCAATAATGAATCGGCCAATAATAAACGATTTTTCATTAATAATGATGATGATGATATGTTTATTGATGATGATGATTGTTTATCAATTTGATTATCATTTAAATTATTATTTGCATTTACAAATGAAATAATTATTGTTGTTGTTATAAATAACCAGAATAATAAATTTGCTATAATCGATACTGATGCCATTAATCTGGAATTATGGTATTGTTTTAAATAATTAAGATTATTATGATTTTGATGATGATGAAGAAGATTTTGAATCTTTATTGTTGAATTATTATGATGATGATGGCGATGATTACATTTTTGTTTTAAATCATTGATTTGATCATTTGATAATAATGTTGATGATGATGTGGATGATGTGGATGATGATGATGATGAATTTAATTGAATTTTATCCATTGAATCATAAATTAATTGATGAAATTAGAAAATAAATTTAAAATTCTTGTATCATTTGATTGATTGATTGATTGGTTTGACCAATTTTTATGAAGAATTTTTAAAAGAATCTTTTGTGAAAATGAAAAATATAATTTTTCTTTCTTTTTTTTCTTGTTCGATGATTTTGTTGTTGTTGTTGTTGTTGATGATCTATGTCCAAAAAATCTATGTCCATGAAATGAAATGAAAAAGAAAGAAAAAAGGATAATTAAGAGAAGAACTTAGCAATGATGTGTATGTGTGTGAGAGAGTAAGTGAGAAGTTGAAAAATAAAATCTGGATCATTGGATGGATGGTTTTTGTTTTGTTTTGTTGTGGAGAGGAAGTTGTACACGCAAAATCTCAAATTTATAGTTTTTTGTTTTTTGTTTTTGGTTTATGTTTTTGGGTTGATTTAGGCGTAACTAACACCACCACCACCTCCTTCTTCTTCTTTTACTAATTTTTATAAGAACCATCATTATCATCATCATCATCATTATCAACATCATAATCCTACCCTCTAAATTTTCAATGTTGACACCCATTTTTTTGTGGTTGTTGTTGTTGTTGTTGTTGTCGTCAACAACGTACAATTATTATTATCATCAACATCAACCATATGGAATCGAAAAGCAGAGCAAAGCAAAAAAAAAAATCCAAAAAATGAAAGTCATTGAAAATATCTTCTGGGTAGATTTGTTTGTTTGTTTGTTTGTTTTGGTCTTGGATTATCGAAATTAAGATAATAAAAAAAAATATTTGCAAAAGAAAGTAGATTGCTTAGATCAGCATCGGTATCACACTTTTACGACAATTTTTTTTTTGGTTGAAAGTGATACTTGTTGGTTATACGGTAGCCGATCAATCGATCGATCGAATGAAAGTGAATTTTTTTTGCATAATAATCATTAATTGATTATTTTTGTTCCCTGATAAATCATAAAATTGAAACCAAAAATCATCAGACAGCAAAAAAAAAAGAAAGTAAAAGTGTTTATTTTCGAAAAAAAACAAACAAACAAAACAATTATCATCAATAAATCTGATTGATTGATCAGATGTGATCCGATATTTGGAAAATGAATGAATTTGCAGAAAAAAACATTCGTCGTTTGCAAAATTGTTATTATTTTCCAAGAAAATTTTCGGTAATTTTCTTGGCAATTTTCTGGTAAACCATGAAAAAAAATGATCAATAACAAAATGATCAACAAACCCATTTATTTTCTTGAAAAACAACAACAACAACAACAAGAAAATGAAAAAAATATTGAAAATCAATCAATAACGGAACTGAAACATTTTATATCATCATCATCCATATATGATGGATCATAAATAAATTACGTTTAATTATGTTTCATTAAAAATTTTGACATAATTTTCTTCTTCTATTTTTTTCTGAATATTAATAATAAATCGATCAATCAATAAATCAATTGGAATCAATGGCTTAAGAAAAAATTATATGTGTAACATTTTTTCTTCTTTTTAAAAGTTTGTTGTTTCCGCTTCTATCTTATTGATGTTTGAAACAGATTTTTTGCTTCTTTTTTAGCATCATCAATTTTTTTTTTTGCTTTGCTTCGCCGTAATCATAAACAGTTACATAGTTGTTAATCTTTTTTGCTGATTTTGTTATAATTTTTTTTTCTTCTTCAAAAAACTAGTTCATTCTGGTAACATCAAGTGTATGTGTGTGTGTGTGTGTGTGTGTTACGTTAGTTAGTAAGTTTTTTCTGATCATTTTGTAAAATTCAAATGAAAAAAACCCTTTTTTTCATATCCAAAAACTTATCACGGATAAAAAGTACTTCTTTTTTCAGGAAAATGATGATGATAAAATTACGAAAAGTTGAGTGCAAATTTAAAAAAATGTAAAATGATACTTTGTATAATATTCACACTAAACAAAAATTAATAAAAAAGAGTTATTCAGAAGATAATGATGGAAAAAAATTCAAAAATCAAATAAAAAACCCGCCACTATCATTTTAAATCAAAAAAAAACTTTATTATCATCATTATCGACGTCATAGTTATTTTTTTTGCAAGTCAGGTAAAATTCAGGTAAAATCTGATTTGATTTTAGAAAATTTTTTACAAAATTGATTAAATCATTAATTCATTTCTTACTGCTATCAATCACGTGAATCTTATTCATCAAGAAGAAAAAAAAACAACAAATCAAAACAAAAAATATTACTGAATAAAATGATAAAATCTGATTGAATGTACTTTATGTGGAAGATTTTTTCTTCAAAAAAAAAAATTCTTTAAATTTTTTCTTGAAAAAAAATGAGAATAAAACATTTGATCAACATTACCTTTTTGTTGATTTTCTCTTGCTTTTGTTGAAAGTCGACTTGACTGAAACCGGAAGAATCACCCAAAACAGACTGGATTTATTTTTACAGAAGAAAATTATAGCAAAAAAAAAGGATGAAAGTTTAAACTAACAAAAAAAAAAAAAATATTAGTTATCGCGTCACATGTTGTTGATTGAAGAATTTTNTTTTAAAAAAAAAAATTAAAGCAAAAAAAAAGGATGAAAGTTTAAACTAACAAAAAAAAAAAAATATTAGTTATCGCGTCACATGTTGTTGATTGAAGAATTTTTTGTTTGTTTTTTTTTTGAACTAAAAATAAAAATTGATTTTGTCGTTTTTGATTTGATACATTGAAATCAATAAAAAGATAATAAAAGATCAATGAGTGAGTGTGTGAGAGTTGGAAAAGTAATTTAACACTTGATGTTGTCAAATTTATCAAAAATTATTTATTTTTTTTCGAATATCGATGATTGATCGATTGATTATTTGTCAATAAATCATCCCTGACACCAAAAACCAAAAAAAAAAACCAAACGAAATAAAATGAAATGAATTCACGGTCCGAAATACGAAATCGGTTATATCGGTGAATATATACAACCAACCAAACAAATTTACAAAATCCTTTACTATTTATATATGTGAATTTTTTTTCCACAATTGATTTTGGTTCTCATTCGTTTTTTGTTACTGAACTTCAATCATTGGATATGATGATGATGATGATGTTAGTGTTTATTTGAATCAAAATTTTGGTCATGTTTTTTTTCTTCATAACCTCATACACAGAGATAGAAATGTTCAGTCCTCGAGGATGGGTTGTATTTTTTTTTTCTTCAAATATCACATATATACAAAGAGCCTACCTAAGCTATTTTTTTTATATATTTGAATTTCTTCTCCAGTAAATGCGCAGATCATCATTAGTAAACTTTTTTTTTTTTTTGGTTGTAGCTGTTGCGTTGATCAACAAGTTGATCATTTGGGTTTATTTGAGTTTATTGAAGATTTTTGTTTTGGATCAAATTTTTTTTTTGGCAAGAATCCTTTATTTTCTCAAAATAAATTTATGACCAAAAACATGAATGAATCATATCACATGATGATGATGATTTTCAAATGAAATTACGATAAAATTCTTTGTAAATGGGAAAATACCAAATAAATGAACCCATCCAATAATCAATGGACACTTATGAAATGATGATAATTGTTTCGACTTTATTCATAAATGAAATGATAAGATATTTATAACAACAACAGCAAAATTAATAATTAATAAAAAAAAATCAATCTATCAATCATTCAAATTGATCAGATGATCAAAGCTAACCGATTTTGCATCACATTCATTCATTCATTCATTGTTTTCATATCGAAATGATTTTCTTTTTCTTTTTTCGAAATGATGATGTATGTGTAAAAAGGGATAAAATCATCTAATGATGATGAATTTTTTCAGAAATATTTATCTAATCAAATCGAATTCGTCAAATAAAAGAAACCAAAAAAAATCAGTGCCAAATTCGATACAATTTGGCATTTTTTTTTCCTTGGTTTGGATTGATTAGTAATTTTAAGTGCATTGATGAAAGAAAGAGAGAAAAAAAAATACAGTGAACAAATACAAAATCAAATCAAATCAAATCATATGAAATCGAATCAATCAATCAATCAATCGAATTTGTTGGTGGGAGGAAACAGAAAAAAAAGTGAAAGTTGTATAATTCTTTTCTATGGCCTCTTTATTGTATAGTCGATAATAGCCAAAACAATAAAAATAGATACTTTATATATCAATGATTAATGTGACATGTCATATATTTTACATCAATCAAAAATTATTATTTAACAATCCAAAGTCAATGGATTGATATGGAATGAAGAAAACAAAAGAAACGATGACAATCATCTTATCGATCAAATTGATGATGACAATTTTTGACATTTTCCCACACACACAATCATTCATTGTATAGTTTTTTTCAAAGAAATAATTAATGATAATGACCGAATCAGTCAGTGACTTGTTGAATAACAAAAATATTATTCAGTTTTACTCAGCTAGAATCATCGATTATCTAATCATATTGAATTAATGTTTTTGGCCAAAAATATGCGGGCAATCCGGATTCGTGTTGTTTGCTTGCTTGTTTATCTTTTTCACCTATCAATACATCATACAGGTGGCAACAAAAATGGGTTTGGTACAGCAATGAGAAAAGGTTACAACAACAAAGAAAAAACAAAGCAAAAAAACATTTCCGATTAGATTATATCATACAAATTTAACCTCATTATCTTATTGTGGAGAAAAATAAATTGTTTTGGATATATTTTATCATCATCAACATTATTATTTTATGTTTTTTTTCGATCAAAGTTTAAAGTTCTTTTAGATTCGTGATATTTTTTGACTAAAAATATTTCTCGAATTCAATGAATAAAATGGGGTTAAAAGTCAAACTATGCATCTGTTGCTATGCTCCGAATGCAGAATCTGTATATTTTCAGTGCAAATTCCCAATTTTTTTCTTCTTTTTCT